TAGGTCTTATGTTTAAGTCTCTAATCCATTTGGAGTGGATTTTTGCATGTGGTGTAAGATAAGGGCCCAGTGTCATTCTTTTGCATGTGGGTGTTGTTCTCCCAGCACCATTTGTTGAAGAGACTGTCCCTTTCCCGTTGTATGTTCTCGGTGCCTTTGTCAAAGACCAGTTGCCTATATGTGTGGATTTGTTTGAGGCTCTTGGCAGTGATTTCATGGATATGATACCAAAAGCAGAGGCAACAAAAATAAAAATAAACTAGTGGGACTACATCAAACTAAAAAGCTGCACAACAAAGGAAATAACAGAGTAAAAAAGCAACATACAAAATGGTTGAAAATATTTGCAATCATATATCTGTCAAGGGGTCAATCTCAAATATATAAAGAACCCATATATCTCAATAATAAAAAAGCTAATAACCTGATTTAAAAATGGGCTAAGACCTTGAATAGACAGTTCTCCAAAGAAGATACACAAATAACCAGCTGGTATATGGAAAACTGCTTAATGTCACTCATCATCAGGGAAATGCAAATCAAAATCACAATGTGATATCATTTCACATTTGTCAGGATAGCTACTATAAAAAAAAACAAAAACAAGTGTTGGTAAGGATATGGAGAAATTGGAACGCTTGCACACCGTTGGTGGGAATGCGAAATGCAGCCCCTATGAAAAACAGTATGGAGGTTCTTCAGAAAATTAAAAATAGTGCTGCCATATGATCCAGTGATCCCACTGCTGGGTATACATCCAAAGAAATTGAAATCAGGATCTGGAAGAGAGATTAGCACTCCCATGCTGGTAGCAGCACTATTCCTAATAGCCAAGATGTGGAAACAACCTGAACGTGGTATATACAGACAACAGAATACTATTTCGCCTTTCAAAAGGATATTCGACAATATGTCACAATGTGGATGAACCTTAAGGCCGCTTTACGAAGTGAAATAAGCCAGTCACAGAAAGATAAAATCCTACATGATTCCACTTACATGATCTGAAATAGTCAAACTCAGAATCACAGAGCAAAATGGTGGTTGCCGGGAGCTGGAGGGACAGAAAAACGGGGCGTTACTAACCAACGGGTATAAAGTTGCGGCCAAGCAAGAGGAGTAAGCTCTAGAGATCCACGGTACAACACCCAGTAGTACTGTATTGTGCACTTAAAATTTGTCACAAGGATAGATCTCGTGGTGAGCGTTACTATCACACTGAAAGAAAATTTTAAAAATAGAATGAGAGAAAAGTGGTAATTCGCTAAGGCATTCATTCTGAAGTTCAAGAGGGTTGAAAGGACTGAGAAAACCCAACTCCCTCACTAGGCGAGGCATTGTTATTTAACTGAGCCATCTTGCTGGCTCTGGAGTCACCTCCCAGAACCACTGCAGTATACAGTACCCATTAACACAGCACCGAGAGACAAAGAGTTCACGTCAAGCAGCTATAGCGTATGATGGAAATCTCAAAGCCACTTCCTCACTTATTCTGTAGCACGACCTTCCAAGGTGGGTGTTTGTGATTTCCGTTTTACAGATGAGCAAACGGAAGCTGGAGGTGATGGGACATGGCCAGAGCCAGAATCAGCAGCTGGGGCTATCTGACCTTTTATCATGACTCTCAGCAAACGGGACTCGTTCTGCTCACCTCTCCTCTCATCCCTGCATCGACCAGCCGCATCTCTCCAAAGGGCCAGGATTCCCTCCGGGACAGAACGGAGTTTTCCTGGAACTGTGGTTCTTCGTTTTTACTGACTGAACACAAGACAGTTCTGGAGTATTTCAGAAGCAGAATTATTTCTCTGCCCCGGGTCATGTTTTTGTGTTAGCCTGTCCTTCCAAAATGAAAGGGGTAAACATCAAAGCACTCAGTGCCGCCTTTTATTAGTAACTTGGCTATATTTTATGGTTTAGGGATTTGGCTTTTACTTCCTAGGAATTGCTCAAAACCAAAAGGGAACTTGGCACTGTCAGGAGGTTTCCGTGGGCCTCATTGTCCCTTCCCTCACTGGTCCTTTTGGAGCCTCTGCTCATTTCAGCAGGGAGCACCCCGGGAGGCCCCCGCAGGTGCAGGCCATGGCCACCTCAGGGCCCACCCTGCTCTCCCTTATGGCATTGGTCCAGTGAATACTTTCAACCAGGTATCAGGGGCTCCCCAGGACTATCTAGACCTGTAGGGAAGGTGCGGGAGGAACAGCCGCATACCCCTGCCTTCTGTGGGTTCGGGGTAGAGGAGCTGGAGTCAGCCAGCCCTGGGCTATCCAGTCCTGCCTACTTCACTAGAGCTTCCATTTCCCCATCTCCGAAATGGGCCAGCCCTCCCAGGACTGCACGGAATGACACAGACGAACGTGTTCCGGGAGCCGTCGAGTGCTGAGCCGACATAAGGGAAGGGTGTTATTGCAGTCTGGGGGCAACCGCAAGATTTCTGCACACAAAGCAGCCAGGACACACCACGGTCCAGCATATAATCAGCTCCTTCACTGTGTGGTTCTAACTGTACGAACTGCAGGATTTCAGAGGAAAGAAAGACCCACGGGGGCCCCCAAGACGGCAGCTTGTCCCAAGCAGAATGAATCCTCCAAACCCGAAAGAGAAGGAGGTCAGAAGCCAGAGGCAGGGGAGGGAAGCGCCTGCTCGCTCCCTCTTGGCCTCTCTGCCTCTGGCCTGGAAAAGATCAGTCCCTGGGGATCTGCTACAGAGCAGGAGCTACTTCAGTAAAATCAATGAGCCACAAATAACAGGCCCTTCTGGGGTGAAGAGCTTGGACAGTGACTAGGGAAATCCCCCTGCTAACACACGTCCACCGACCTCACGTCTTCTTCAGCTTTAGGTATGAGACAGCTCGAACCTGGGGGTCTGGCTTAGAGTCAGAGCCGGACTCAAAGGCCATATAGGGTCAGCTACCCAGGGGACCACCAGTGGGTGAGTGAATAAACAGAATGTGGCATAGCCGTACAGTGGAATATTATTCAGCCTTGAAAAGGAAGGAAATTCCAGCACCTGCTACAGCATAGATGAACCTTGAGGCTGTTAGCTAAATATAAGCAGCCCGGCATAAAAGGACAAATATTGTATGATTCCACTTATATGAGGTATTGGAACAATCAAATTCATACAGACAGGAGGTAGAACAGTTGCCAGGAACTGAAGGAAGGGGGAATTATTTAATAGGTACAGGGCTTCAGTTTTGCGAAATAGAAAGCGTTCTGGGGCTGGAAGGTGGGGATGGTTGCATAACAAGGTGAACGTACTTAATGCCACTGAACCGTATGCTTAAAAATGCTAAAGATGATAGGGTGCCTGGATGGCTCAGTCTGTAGAGTGAGTGTAGTGTGACTCTTGGTCTCGTGGTCATGAGTTTGAGCCCCACATGGGGCATGGAGCCTACTTAAAAAAATGATTAAGGTGGCAAATTTTATGTGTTATTTTACCACAATTAAAACTTTTTTTATTTTTTTTAGGTTTTATTTATTTTGACAGAGAGAGCATGAGCAGGGGGGAGGGGCAGAGGGAATGGGAGAGGGAGAAGAGGCTCCCAGCAGAGCAGGGAGCCCCACGCAGGGCTCGATCCCAGGAGCCTGGGATCACGACCTGAGCCAAAGGCAGACACTTAACCGACTGAGCCACACAGGTGCCCCTAAAACTTTTTAAAAATCAGAAAAATAAGTCAAAATACCCCTGAAACCTTGAGGAAGGGACCACTGGAGACCCCCATCCGTCTCTCCATTAGTCCATCGTATGCCAGGAGCAGGGTTGGAGCATCACTTTGCAGGGGATGAATGGAAGGTGAGCTTTTAGAGGCTTGTTATATAGAAAATATAGGACATGTTTTTCTCCACTCCCAACTCACTCAGCACTTGCAGGAGGCACATGAGAGGCACCCAGGAACTGAGGCCTTCTGTGGAGAGGAGCAGAGTCCTGCCTCCCTCCAGAGCAGGCACTGGCGGGCTGAAATGACGGGCAACATTGCCCGTGCCATTTACATCTGTGCGTGTGTGCAGGCGCGCTCCCTGCACGGAAGTTTGTAAGAGAATGTGTGCATGACGCAGCTTTCCTGCACTGCGATCTGCATCCTCAGGACCCAGGCCAGAAGGGGCTTAAATAAAGGTCTGTTACACTAAGCTGTTTATTCATGATGGTGCTTCATCTTAGTTTCATATTCTTTCAGGATCAGGATGCATCCATCCTTCTCTCGTATTGGACACAGACACCAGTGCACTGCTGGGCCCAGAAATCATGTCTTTAGAATCATTGAATGGATACCTGTTGGGAGATGAACAGGCCCAAAGAATGCCTCGTCCCCGTTGTACCCTCCACCCACTCCTTATCCAACCCGCTGGCAGACATCTGAGGCTCCTTTAACTGATGAGCTAGCATGGCAAATTAATATGGACTGGGGCAGTGACAGATACCAGATGTTTCAACCCCTCAATAACCTGGGAACTTCTAACCTCTACCCAAATCATAAAGCAGTGCCCTTGCTGTAACACTGCAGATCTGTGAGTTAAGACATGCATGCAGGCATGTTGGAAACCAGCTTAGTGTTCACCAGTAGGCAGCTGGGTCAATAAAGTACGATACATTTGTGCAATAGACACCCTCAACATCCAGTAGACATGAAGTCATAGAAGAATAATGACATGGCATGAAGTCACCAGTTTAGTGTTTCAGATAAATGTATACATATTCTTTGCTCAGATATGCCCATAACATGTATGGGCACGCCTGTGTGTGTGTGTGCGTGTATACACTGTGTGCATGCATGCATGTGTGCATGTGGTCCCCAAACCAGCAGCAACACCAGGGAGCTTGTCAGATATGCACATTCTCAGGCCCCACCCCAGACCTACTGAATCAAAAGATCTGGGACCCAGCCGTCTGGTTTCACAAGCCCCCCAGGTGATTCTTATCATACCCAAGGTTGAGAAGCCCTGACTCATGGCATTCCTGACACCCCTTTCCTTCCTTTGGACTCATTTGTGTCTCTTCTCCAGGCCCTGATCCAGCTGCCCCCCTATATCTCTCAGTGTGATGAGGTGCTGCAGTTCTTTGAGACAAGACCCGAGGACCTGAATCCCCCGAAAGAGTAAGTTGGTGTGTGGACTTCCCCAAAGTGTACCCTCACGGCTGTCCCTGCTCCCAGGCCGACCCCAAGAGGAATTGGAATAGAACAAGTAAAAAATTCAGCTTGACCACCCTGATTGAGCCCTTGTGGGACCTTGCTGCATGTGGCCCGCACAGGGGAAGGAAGCTGGCTCACGCATGGAGAGTGGTGGAAGCGGGAGCCTGGATGCCCTTGCAGTGGGGCCTTGCCCACAAGGGTGAATGTGCTCGTGACCGTGAGGGATATGAATGAATGAGTGACAAGACCTGCTCGAGGTCTCAGCGCTCGTGAGTGACAGGGCCAGGGCCAGAATTTGATCCTGATCATCCAGGGTCTAACACTGTCCCAAAATGTTCACCCCAGCCCCTGCAGCAGACAGAAAACACTTCGAGGTGCCTGTCTGTGCGTAGCCAGTGGTCCTGGCAGCCCAGGCACGCTGCAGAGACTCTCCCTACTGCCTGCTGGCTTTACACATCAGGAGTTGATGGCACCAATGGCCCTGCCAGCCCGAAACACTGACCTACACATAGCGCTTTTTTAGAAAGTTTAGTTGTGGGGGAAACCACCATGCGTGTCTGCAGAGAGAAGAGTTCTCTATAATGGAGCAGTCACAGGGCTGAGGGGCGGGGGGGTGGGGACCAGCCCACAGGTGCGGGGCAGTCTGGGGTCATAGGGGCCAGAGCCAGCACCTATTGGGAAGGGCTGAGAAGTGCCAGACAGCCTCTTTGGCCAGAGAGAGAGAGCAGGTGCAGGTGCACGCGCACACATGTACACACAACTAGAAGCCACCAAAAATACAAAACGTAGCCTAGACTACACCAAAGAAAGCACGAAGTATCAGCCGTGATAAGCTAACAGCATCGTGCTGGAGTATATGTATCTAGTTCCAAGAGGCTTCCTGTAAAGAAGGAAAAGGTTCCAATCTCTCTGTCCCTTCCCTGCTATATGACCTTGAACAAGTGTCTTGACTTCTCTGGGCTTCTGTTTCCTCATCAGTAAAGTGGTCTTGGCTAACCTCGATCTCATCTTGGTTGTGAGGATTAAACACCATCCTGCCTATAAAGGAGAGCCTGGTGCATGGCAGGTACTTACTTACCTGGTGAGGCCTTCCTGTCTTTAAGCCAGGCTTTGATGTGGAAGGAAGGTGGGAAGGTTGCTGAGGGCCCAGGGGGTGGCTCTGGGGCCACAGCAGGCAGTCAGTCTCAGGTGGGCCTTGGTTGTTGGTTGAGGGAGTAATGAAATAGCAACGAAACAGCCGGTCCCTTGGTCAGGATCCTGAAGCTCATACCTGAGTTAGGGCTAAAGATGGAAACTGGGGGTCGTTCCCGGCAGTCTTTAGGGAGACAGAAGATGGATTCCAAATGGTGCTGTTAAAGGAAGGTTTTTTTTGCTGCCATGCATAGGAAAACTTGGGACCGTCCCAAGCATGTCACACAGAGAAGATGATGTGCCTGGTGAGCCCACACATGCTGCTGCTTGATCCCAAGAGCCCCCCGCTGCCCCTAACTGCCGGCTCCAGCCAGGACAGCAAGACAACCAGCAGGAATATATGGCAGGCAGGAGCCTAGGACTTCAAGGAGCCCAGACCGTGGCTCAGGTCCAGACCTTGATGGCAACTCAGGCAGATGGTGCTTTACACAGAGGCAGCCCTAAGGGACCTCTGTGGGTGTGTCTTGGAGCTGGCCGCTAAGAAGGAGACTTCACCTACAGGCCAGGCCAAGATTTGGTCAGGAGAGTGGGCCCCAGCTGGGATCCTTGGGTTCTGATGTTGGGTGAGGTGCTTCATTTCTCTGGGTCTCCCTGTCTCCACCTGTGAAATGGAGTAACCCTCAAGGATTATTATGAACATTCATCGGGTGGGTCCAGATACAGCACTCTGACCAGCACTCTGTACCCAGTAAGTGCCAGTAAACGTGAGCCGCACAGGGGCAATGAAGTTTAGCCCCACTGAGGTAATGCGTGGCCAGGGGACAGCACGACCGACCAGCGCGGCCCAGCACTGGAGCCAGGCCCTGCTGCTCCTCCCAAGTGCACAGCAGTGCAGCCCCAGGCTCAGGGGATTGGCTTAGCCCCCTCACCCTCTCCCACGAAGCCCACAATGACAGGGACAGGGTCATTACACGGTGGTGAAAAAGCCAGACTTGAAAATTAGACTGAACTTGACATTTCTCCAAAGAAGATACACAAATGGCCAATAAGCAGAGAAGAGAAGAAGCTGCTCAGCATCGTTAGCCATCAGGAAATGTGAATCCAAACCACACCCGCTGGGTTGGCTAGAACCAAAAAGCAGAGAGCAGTGAGTGTTGTCGAAGATGTGAAGAAACTGGCATCGGCGTGCGCTGCGGGCGGGCTCGTAAGATGGTACAGCTGCTATGGAAGACAGCCTGGCAGTTCCTCAAAAAGTGAAACCCAGAGTTAACCATGTGACCTGGCATTCCATTCCAGCATAGAACCAAGAGAAATAAAAATATACGTCCACACAAAAACCTGTGTACACATTCACAGAAGCAGGATTCGTAAGAGCCAAAAATGTGGAAACAACCCAGTGCCTCTCAGCTGATGAACACGTCAGCCAAGTGTGGTTTACCCACACAACGGGGTTTTATTCAGCCATAAGAAGGAATAAAATACTCATCTGTGGTACAAGGTGCTCGGCCCTTGAAAACATGCCACCCGAAAGAAGCCAGCCTCAAAGAGCCTCGTACTATATGATCCCATTCATATAAAACGTCCAGAATAGACAAATGTTAGTATCAATAACAAATTAGTATCTGCCAGCAGTTGGGGGGAGTGTGAACAGCAAGTGACTGTTTCTAGGTACCAGGTTTCTCTTTGGAATGATGAATATTTTCTGGAATTAGACAGTGGTGATGATTACACAACCTTGTGAATATGCTAAAAACCAGTGAACTCTACACTTCAGCAGAATGCATTTTATAGTGCGTGATTTATAGCTCAATTTTTAAAAGTTAGGTAGATCTGGGTTCAGCTTGCACCTTGCTAGCTGTGTAGCCTTAGGCAAGTTACCTAACCTCTCTGGGCCTCGTTTTCCTCACCCAGAAAATGGGCATTAAAAGAGCACTTATTTCCAAGGGTTATTATGAGCATTAAATGAGTGAACTAAAAGTACCCAGCCAGGGTACTGGCACAGGGTAATAACATTTAGTAATTATTAGCTAATGTTACTACTGCCACAACATTTGTCTCAAACCAACCATCCAGTCACCTCCCTTTTCCCTTTATAATATAGGAAACCTTTTTACTAATGGGATACTTTACTTATAAGTATTTTGTAATTCCTGATTTGTAATATTGTATTGGTAATGCAGTTGTGTGTATAAATTCCAGTGTGGGTGACAAATAACAAGGGAGTCGGTACTCATTATTCTGTATGAATCCTAGCCCACAGTAGTGTTCTCTATGTCATGGCGAGAGAGGTGTGTTTTATTTACTGATATCTAGACTTCTACCCAGTTTTCATGCGTTCCACTTACACTTACCCCCGAGAGCTTTCTGCTCCATGAGTACAGCTCAGGGCAGCCCTAAGAAGTGGGGCAGGGTCTCTGCTGTGCCTGCCGAGGTGGGCATCAGGCTCTGTGCAACATGGGGGCCTAATGTTTTCATACTGCATGCCCCCACATCAACCCCTCCCTAGGGCCCCCTACTCTGCAAATAGCGTAGACATGTTGGTCCCCAGGGGGCCAGAGCACTTACAGGGCAAAGGGAGAAAATTAAGAGGAATTCTTTCTTTTTCAAAGAATCTGGGTCCTTGGGGCTGCCTCTGATTGTATTCGTTCACTGGAGATGTTGTGGGATGGAGAATCTGTTTCCTAATGGAATAACCCATGTCACTGTGTAACACTACTGACTCGTTACTCTCTCCCATCCCCTTCTTTCCTGTGCAGGGAGCATGTTGGGAAAAAGAAATCTGGTAAGAATATTTTGCATTTTCATTCTTTCAATGTTCAACATACCCCTGCTGAGCACCTCTGATCGCCAGGCCCTGGGCACTGCCTGAGGGATACAGCATGTGACTGGGTGGATGGATGGATGGATGGATGGACGGATGCTTGGTTGATTGGTTGATATTCCAGCCTGTTTCCCAGAAAAAGAATTGGAGGTTGTTGCATCCTATACCAAAAAGGTACAGACTGGATAAGACCTGCTGTCTTTCCCTGAGAATGCCTCAGAGGAGTGGGGGAGCCTGACACCCCCTGACCAGACGTAGAGGGTTAGGTACCTCTGCTCTGCTGCAGACAGAGGAATGTGGTGCCTCACAGCTGAGAGCATTCTTCCCAGGTGTTGGAAGGGGTCAAAAAAGAAGAGACGCTGGGTCTTGAAGAGTGAGCAGGAGCTTTCCACAGAGCGAAGGGCGGTTGGGGTTGAGGAGAGGTGCACAAGTGGGAGGCCCAGCCTCTGTGCTTCCCTTAGCCAGCCACTGTTCTGGGCAGTAACGGCCACTCTTTCCAGCACCTCTGGCGCTCACTCCCTTCTCCCGAGCATCAGTGCCCTCCCTTCCCAGCCTCCCTGTCCACCCTGGAAGGCACAGCTCTTCTCTCTAGAGCAATGATGGAGAAAGAGAAGGTGGGGATTCGGGTATGCACAAAGGAATGACTCAGTCTTTGCAGGCCTGGGGTTGACAACTTTAGATTCACAACAGTCTGACCTTTCCTTCCAGCACCCCAGGATTATCCGCCCCCACCCCACATCTGCAAAGTCCCCTGCCCGCAACCCCCACACCTGGAGCCAGCGTGGTCTTCAGAGCTTCCAGAAGTCTAAGTTCTTATATGCATCTAGGACTCCGGGAAGATTGAGGGCATTGATAATGATGTGGGGAAAGAGGGGCCAAGCAGAGATCCTGGATGTGAAAAAGGATGCCTCCTCCCATGGCCCTCAGTTCTCTCATCTGTAAAATGGGGATAATAATAGTAATCTATCTTGGAGGATTATTATCGGATTTATAGTAATATGTACAAAGCACTTAGAACAATGCCTGGCATATTTTAAGTGCTACATGTTTCCTGCTGTCTCTATACTGCTACCATTAATTCAAAGCACATGGGCATCCCTCTCCAAATTCAATGCCTCTGGTCCCTTTACGGCCCCCTGGGTACAAGGCCTCTGGTCAGCTTTATAGGGCCCCAGCCATTCTAGCAAGGAAGAGTGGGGAGGAGCTGGGTCTCTTTCCCTCAAGGTCTGGTGTCTGGAATGAACACCCTCCTTTTCCCAACCAGTCTGTTTACAGCTCCACTTTCGGGTTTTATAGGTACTGGCCGGGGCTATGGCATCCTGTTAAAGCTGCAAATGGTCCTTGAGCTCTGAGCATAATGATATGTTTCTTAGAAAAGAACAGAGAGGAAAAGAGGCACAGCCACTCTTGGGCAGGTCACAGAGTTTCTGGCTTTGAGTGTGCAGAGACATTCCTGGAGGGAACGGCTAAAGGAGAAGAGGAAAGAGACAGCTCTGGTTTGCAAAAACCAAAGTGTCCAGTCAGAACAGGCTTGATGAGGGGACTGGTCTGGAAAAGAGAAGAGGTTCTAATTTGTGGTGACGACTATTACATCATTCACCTGCAATGATGGGGGATGGATTTATTTATAGTTCAGCTGGATGGAAAATAGCATCTTTCTTCATTCAGGCTAAAGACCCATGCTGGAATTAGCCTTATTTTCTTATCTGACCTTTGAACACTTCCTTTATGTGAGAACTGGCCTTCTTGATTGACTGTAAAAGGGATTTAAGGTTGACAGCCCAAACCCTGAGATTTCTGTGCCAGAACTCTGAATTGGAGAAAGCTCATTGGTCTCCAGAATTTGCCAGTCATGGCCAGCTGGCTGGCTCCTGCAGACTTGGGCTAATGTGGGCTCAACTTTTGCTCATCCAGCAGGAAAAAGTCCTCCCACCAAATTTAAGAGGTCATCTGATTATTTAAAGAGCATCTTTCTTCTTGATTTTTCTACCCTTTACTTATTTCAGTATTCTCTAATTTACTGGCTTTCAGCAAGACTGGCAGTATAGTGAATTTCTGGAAAGAAAATCCCACTTTATCATTACTCACTATATTAGTCTGGCTTGAGCTGCCATAACGAAAATACTATTGAATGAGTGGCTTAAACAACAGAAACTTACTTCCTCACAAGTACAGAGCCTGGAAGTCAGAGATCAAGGTGCCAGCACCATCAGGTTCTGCCAAGAGCCCTCTTCCTGGCTTCTAGACTGCTGCCTTCTCACTGTGTCCTCCTATGGCAGAGAAAGAGCAAGAACAGGCTCTCTGGTGTCTCTTCTAGTAAGGGCACTGTCCCCATCATGGGGGCCTCACCCTCATGACCTCATCTGAACCTAATTACCTCTCAGAGGCCCACCTCCAAATGCCATCCTGTGAGAGTTAAGGCTTCAGCATATGAATTTTGGAGGGACAAAATGCAGTCCATGCAGTTATCTTTAAAATTCAAGACATGTCATCGTGAATAAAAACATGCCAGTTAGAAGGTTCTATGGTACCTCGGGCACTGTACCTCTTGAGAATATTTTATAGCGCTTCCTCAGTATTAAAATCACCCTTCCACTGTCAAATCTCTCTGCTGACCGGTTTGTTCTCTTATTCCTGCTGGACCACAAGGATGACGTTCCTTACATAGGAATACTTAGATATCAAGCTTGCAGCTCCTAGTGCTTAGCTACCTGCGTCAACTTCCAGGTATTGCTATTACTATGCATGATAGAGCTTGGGCGCAATATCGCTGTCCACCAGTAGGTGTCTCCACCTAGCGCCTAGCTGGCCTGAAGCCTAGTTTGAGAATCCTGGTCAAACGAATGACGTTTTCATAAACTGCATGCTCTGGGTAAAATGAAGGCAGAAGAACTGGTGCTGGGAAAGCAGCCCCAAGCACTCTCTTCCAAACCACTTAAGGGCAGGAACTTCTGTGTAAAAAGCTGTTGTCTTAGAAGAACAAGGAGAGGTCGGACACAGACGTGGCCCCTAGCGAGTCTTTGAGGAAGTGCGGCCCCGAGCCCTGTGCTCAATAGCAGATCTGCTCGAACTAGCCCAGAGTCCTAAACCTTGCTCCCTGACCTCCGCATTGCCTGCATTGGTGTCTCATTTGCAGTGAGTCCCGTGATTTTCTGATTCTGTCACTGCTCTTCATTCTCCCAAACCCCCTTGGCAGCCTGGTTGGGAGAGTTGGTGCAGAAATGAGTAGATCAGTCCATTGATCAGAATCCTGAAAACTGGATGGTACAAATGTACCACCATCAGTTGTTCAGACTGAGTGGCAACGATGAGCTTTCTGGACCGAGTAACCAGACTTGACCCTGACTCCATCAAAGCTCTGTCCCTGCCTAGAGGCAAGAAGGAGTCATCTTTGGTTGCCCATGAGATGGACAGGTGCCTGCTTTAACTGTTAGCATTGTGTGCTCTTAGGAGGAGGCCTGGAGCCATGCAAAGCAGAAGAGTTTCTAGAATTTTCCCTTTGTTGATTCACTCCACAAATATCCATTGAGTGTCTGTGCTAAGTGCTGAGAGAACAAGACAGACACAGTTATTGATTAAATGTTTATTAGGTACCTACTGTATGCCTGACAGTGCTCTAAGCCTCTAGGGAATGCAAAGGTAAATAAGATGTGAGAAGTATTCTTACAGTCTGGTAGAAAAAATAGATGGTAAACAAAATAAAATATTGCAAGTGCTCTAAAGGAAAGCATTTAAATTTATTTCTGGGGTAAGAAGTCCTTTAAAGGTGAGTTTTAGAATATTCATTTTTTTCCTTCAGATATTTATTGAGCCTAGTAGGTGCCATCCACATTCTAGGCCAGGGGTTGGCAAACTTTTTCTCTAGTGGGCTGGATAGTAAAATTTCAGTGTTTGCAGGCCACATACAGGCCCTGTCAATAATAATAATAATTTTTCCTCTTCCTCTCATTCTCCTTTACAACCCTTTAAAAATACGAAAGCTTTCCTGGAGTGCCTGGGTGGCTCAGTCAGTTAGGCATCCAACTCTTAATCTCAGGGTCCTGAGTTCAAGCCCCACACTGGGCTCCACGCCCAGCGTGGCGCCCACCTTAAAAAATAAAATCTTTCCGAATTCCCCTTGTACCGAAACAGACCATGGGCCTGTGAGCCTCTGGATAGGGAATCCAACAGTAAACAGGAGCCTGAGTCCCTGCACTCGTGGGGCTTATGTTCTAGAGTGGAAAGACAGACAACAAGGAAACAAGTAAATACACAGAATCTGTGATTTTTTTCAAACACTGTGGTGAAATAAAACTAGATGAGGCACTCAACCCCGCCATATAAATTATACACAAGGTTGCTCTTGAATTCGGGACTGTCCTTTTCTTGCCTTTATCTATATTAAACATATGTGAATCTTAAAAAAAAAAAAACAGGTGAGGCAGTGCAAGGTGGTCAGAGAAGTTCTCGTTGATGCGATGCCCCTGGAGCAGGAGCCTAAACCATGCAATTACCTGTGCCACATTGGGGAGCGTGCAGAAGAAATGACCAGAGGGATTGGGCAGGGCCCCGTAGGCCACTGGGCTTTTCCTGAGTGAGGTAGAGGCCATTGCAGGGTCGTGACCTTTGAGGAACACGATCTTACACGTCTTTGGAAAGGATCACTGTAGCTGCTGTGTCAAGAACAGATTGCGGCAGTCAGGGCCGGGGCAGGAGACCAGTTAGGAGGCTAAGATTAGGTGGTCCCCATGTGAATGCAGGGGAGAGGAGAAGGCATCCCGAGCAGAGTGAACAGCCTATGCAAAGGCACCTTCACGCTTTCCGGTTTTATGGGTACACCGGGGGTAAGGTAGCCGAAAGACAAGACCATAAAGGCCAGCAGAGTCCAAGCTGTAGAGAACCTTAGGGCAATGGGGAGCCATACCAAGTGCTGAGCAGTGAGCAGCAGGGTCAGAGTAGCATTTTTGGAGCGAGCACTCTGCAGTATGGAGGACAGACCAGAGGGGCAGGACAGAGACCAGTTACACATGTCGTTTCCCCGCCACCACCATCCCAAAGAATCCTCACTCAGACCCTGGTGCAGAGCATGGGGCTCCGTGAGGAGGGGAGAGAAGTCAGGTGACGGGGTGCTCTAAAGAAGGTCCACCCGCATCAGACCCGTGGCTGGGTGACCTGCCTCCAGGTGGCAGCAGAGAACCCCCAGGCAGGAGCACAGCCGCTCCCTGACCCTCCCAGCCCCCTGACCTCCTGCGGGGAAGACCTGGGCACATCTCTGCGAATTCACCTGACTGTGTAGTGGCTGCTTTTCTCCTGTCTCTCCAGTTCTTTCTGTCAGGTTGAGAGACAGGGAAGCACAGTTGCCTGGAGACAACCCACCTGAGCGCCAGATTAGACGGGTAGCTGCATTCCTGGCGTTGTGATCCCTAAGGCAGGCTGTATCCTGGGATGAAAGCTATAGACTCTGGTCTCTACCTATTGCATCCCCTGGGGAGATTGTCCCCAGCTCGCAGGGGCCAGGAGCCTCCAGCAAGCCAGCGTCTGCCTACGCTCCCTCACGTGATGGGACCTCTGTGGGCACAGTGCCCGGCGGTTCAGGACACCGTCGACACTTCCGCTGTCAGGAGCTTCCGATCTCATGGGGGCAGCAGGAGGGGCAGTAACCAGCCTGCTCAAAGGCTACTCCCGAACGGCTCGAGTGGCTGGGCTGGCTGGGGTGCACTGTCGTGCTGGAGACCAGGAGGAAGTTAGCCCTGCAGCCTGACCTTGGGGGAGGTGCTGGAGGAGGAGAGAAGATAGCCCAGAGAGACGCAAGGAAATCAGACCCAGCCTGACTGGTCCCGGGCGGTTCTCGTGGGGACCCACAGGGAAGGAAAGCAAACAGGCCTCAGACTACCCTTCCTCCCCTAGCATCTTTTCTTTCCTTACCTACCTGCACCGTGCCCCCACCACACTGGAGAGCCTCTGAGCCAGGGGGACCTGGTTCAAGTCCCACTTTGTCACCATCCAGCTGTGGGACCCGAGGCAGGTCACTTGATGTCTTGGAGCCTCTCTTTTCTTGTCTTTTAAAGGGTGGCTGTACCCGCCTTCCAGGGTGGTTGCGTTGACATAGTTTATGTATGATGTGTAGCCTGTGATGGGCGTTCATGCGAGGCTCCTTCCCTCCCGACCTGCTCCCAAACCTTCGGTCTACGTCTCCGTCTCTCTTCTCTGCTCTCTTTCTCTCTTCCCATGCTTTCTGCACCCACGGTAGCCCTAGGCCCTGCCCTGGCTCCTGTTTCCCTCTGTTATCCTCAGCTGCGAAGAGCCAAGACTCGGTGACACTTCATCCTGCTACAGTGGCCTGTTCTGGTTTTCCACATCGGAGATTCAGAGCACATGGTTCTAACAAAGGGCTTTTGTTCTGCTTCTGGACGCCAGAGGCTGGGGTGCACTGGCATGCTGGCGAATAACTTCACAACCAGCTTTCTGATCAAGAGCCCTGCTTTGTAGCATTTGCCAGTATCCATGGTGTCAATACTCCCGCTGTGGCCAGTTTCAAGCTACCAGCAAGGCGTCACCCAATAGAGCTGGGAAGGGGTGCGCAAAATTGCCTCAGGGTGAAGCTGGCCCTTGCACGCCACGCCATTACTGGGTGTGTTTGGACACAGAAATGTGGGATTTCCTGGATGTTTCAGTTGTTTATGGAAACAGTAGGAAGAAATACTGTGAATCGGGACTTTCACAAAACCAGGGCCCTGTGGCCACAAATGTCAGGCCGCCCTCCCGTCCCATTCTGTCTGCTGTCCTCAAAGGGCTGTTCCCTTCTCTTCGGAGTCTCTGAACTCAGATGTCCCTTCACATCACCCATATTGTAGGATATCTTCCTTTATTAATCAGGTATGTCTTACTACTCAGCCGGGACCACACAACTCCCGAGGGCACCGTCCACACCGCATCCTGTGGAAACAGCCTCTCCTGGAGCACCTGCCCACGCCTTTCTCTTCCCGCTGCCACTACCCTGGTCCAAAGCCACCATCGTCTCCTGCCTGACGAACCCGTGACCTCCCATCTGGTCGCCTGCTTTCTTTCTTGCCAGCCTCTAATCCACGCTCCATGTGGCAGCCAGAATTATCTTTCTAAGGATGTAAATCTGCACTTGTCATTCCCTCTTAAAGGCCTTTAGTGGCTTTCTCCTTGAGGGTTAAAAAAAAATATCCAGACTTCTTACCTGTCCGTCCTGACCCATGCCCAGCTGTGTGTCCTCATATAGGACTGCTCTCCTCGCTCACTGGGCTCAGCCCCCTGGCCTCCTTCCAGGCCCCTTCCGGTCTGAGAGCCTGCCTGCATCATTCTTTCCCCATTCTCTCATGTCTCTTACTCAGCTCCCCTCCTTAGGGAGGTCTTGCCGACCACCCCATGGAATGTGACATCCCCTTTCCCTATCATTCTTGGTCCAGCATCCTAGGTTGTCTCCAGCAATGCAGCTGTCAAAAACCAATACTTACATTATCCTGTATTCTTATGATTATATAGATCTGTTCATGTGTCTGTCTCCCCAACTAGATGAAGTTACTTGAGACTGGGAATCATATCTGTTTCATCCACTTCAGTCCCCCCCAGCACCTAATAGAGTGTCTGGAATATCACTGGTGACTTCATGAATTCACAGATGAGTGATTTTTGGATGGACGGTGGGTGGACGGTGGGTGGATGAGGAATGGCAGAGGGATGAATGGATGGAAGGGAAGATGGGCACAAGTGAATGCACTTTCCCACTAGGCCGTCAGCTTCTCCAGGGCAGGTACCATAATCTTGACCAACTCTGAATCCCCAGTGGCTCACACAGTGTCTGCATTGAAGAGGCACTTGATAGCTTTTGGTGGTTGGATGAGCAAATTAAGAAAATAATGAATAGATGAGGTGAGATAAGTCCTATAATAGCTTCTTTCTGTCTTTGAAGTGTTCTCCTGACCCACCGTACTCCCCGGGCTCCTGCTCCTTCACGTGCGGGGTGGTGGCTAGAGGTGACATCTGATAAGGTTTTATATCCACAGGGGGTGACCTGACCTCGGTGGACCCCATGGTCCTGGAGCAGTATGTGGTGGTGGCAGACTACCAGAAGCAGGAGAGCTCGGAGATCAGCCTCAGCGTGGGGCAGGTGGTGGACATCATCGAGAAGAACGAGTCAGGTAGAGGAACCAAGCCACCTCCCTCCCTGCCCTACACTGTCACCAAGCCCCTAGGACGGGAGATATTTGGAAACACAGAAACTGCAGTGGCTGACCTGAGCTGGGCAGTTTCCCCAGATCCAGCTGATACCCTCTTAGAAAACTACCTCTGTTTGATCGCAGGGCTCAAATATCGCACTTGGTCACAACTCACCAGCATCCTGTTGGATCAGTTGTTACTGAGTTATTCTGAGGGTCGCTTTTCATGAACGTGTCTTCTGGTTTCAAAGCACTTGGAGACATGGAGTCCAGCATTCCACTGGAAATTTGCCTTTGGTTACCATGGGAGTCTTCGTGAAGGCTCCATCAGTTGTAGGCTATGGTGGGATGGACACATCACCTGTCTCCTCAGCCCACCTGTCATCACAAGGACCCCTGGTCATGTACACTGGCCAGGTCTGGGACAGAAGGTGGTATGATCAGACACTTAGCCTGAGTTTCCATCTGAACTCTGCATTTCACACAGTCCAGCTTGCTGCTTCTCTCTGGCCATCCATTCTCTTATATGCAAAATAGAAAAAGCTTCAAGGCACCTGGGTGGTGCAGTCGGTTGAGTGTCCGACTCTTGGTTTTGGCTCAGATAACGATCTCGGGGGGGGGTCATAGGATCAAGCCCTGTGTCCGGCTCCGCAATCAGCCCTGAGTCTACTTGGGACTGTTTCTCCCTCTCCCTCCACCCCTCCACCCCCCTCCCTCAAAAATAAATAAATAAATCTTTCAAAGAAAAAAAAACAGGGGGGCGCCTGGGTGGCTCAGTCATTAGGCATCTGCCTTCGGCTTAGGTCATGATCCCAGAGTCCTGGGATCGGGCCCCGCATCGGGACTTGCACTGGGCTCCCTGCTCGGCGGGAAGCCTGCTTCTCCCTCTCCCACTCCTCCTGCTTGTTTTCCTGCTCTCGCTGTCTCTCTCTCTCTCTGTCAAATAAATAAATAAAATCTTTAAAAAAATAGAAAATAGAGAAAGCTTTTACTTCAAAGAACTGTTACAAGAATCAAATGAGATGCTACCTAGAGTGTGCCGACACCTAGGCCCGGCACACCGTAGGCACTCAAGAATGTGGGTTTCCTTTCCTCTTGCCTTCCTTAGCCACAAAGCAACCATTGGCACCACTGAAGGCAAAGAGCAAGGAGTAGGGGGATGAGCAGATTCTCTCCAGGAAAAAGTGGCATAAACCCACTGGCTTCGTTGTGCCTAAAATGTGACTTTGCCTAATAATATCATTAGCAGGCCAATCTCTGTGACACCCCAGTGGCTAGTTATGGGCCAACAAATAGGAAAGACTATGTTTGCAGCAGCATCTGGATCATGTTACCATTAGTCATGAGATCAGCATTAGCCAACCAAATTCTTTAATTAATATAGGAACTGCCATCCCCGCATCACAGCTGAAGAAACAAGACTCCAAGTACCGTGCTTACTCACCCAAGATCTCACGACAAGTTACAGAGCTAGAATTCCAAACAGTTCCAGCTGGCTCCAAGGCCATGTGACTCTCTAATTCCTGGGAATGAGTATATGCAGATGATCTAATTATTGGGAATGAGTATATGCAGATCATGGGTGTGGCTAGCATGCCCCGCAGGGACTAAGGAAGGCAGCCCCTACCTGCCCCCCAGCAGCCTGTGTGCCTGAAGTCGGGAAGAACACATTGCCGGGAGAAGAGTAGGAGCTAGGATGGGGTTGCTGAGGAGAAGCCTGGTATGTCCAGAGGCAATGGAGGAAATGGGGCCCGCAGAAGGTCCCATCTTCCAGTGGCCAACAAACTGGCAACATTTATTTTTAATTATATTTTACTGACCCAAGTAATATGTGGACACATTCTTCTTAAAACATTAATGATAAAGTTAAAATCCGTTCTTTCCACTGGCTTCATTCAACCTTAGCCCGCTTTCCAAACCCCAGATAGACCTTCTATCAGTTTACTATGAATCCTTCTTGATAATTGAATAAACACATACACATATGTGTATGTGTGTGTCTTCATGCATATGCATGTATACACATGTTTGTATGTGGTCTGTATGTCTACACGTGTGCACATGTGTAGATACAGAACCCTATGCACACACCATATTTTGCCTGTGTTGATATAATTTTGTAGTTTTTTTAACCCCAGTGGTATCATTCTGTTACATTTTGATCTGCAACCTGCTTTTTAGTCAACATTTAGCTCTTCTTAATCCTTCAACATCTGCATACTATTTGATCTGAATAAACCATGTTTTTCTCTCCCGTGAACAGTATATGCATGCACACTGGTGAGTGTTTCTTTAGGTTAGATACGAGACATAGTGCAGAACAACAGGTACATGTATTTTGAATTTTAAGATACTGCCAAATGACCTGCCTCCAGACTGGCCATGGCAATTTACTCTCCCCCTAGCAACAAGGAGGGATTAGGGCAGATGGTTGAGAGCTGAGACTTTGAGGCTAGGACTGCCTAGGACTGAATCCTGGCTCTGGCGCTTTCCTTGTGACCTCTCTCTGAGCCTCGGCTTCCTCATCCAGAGACTGGGGCAGTCACATGCCGCTGCAGGGCTAGTGTGAGGATCCAGCCCGTCAGTAGCAGATGTGAAGCGCTGACCCAGTCTGGCGCACCTTGCTGTCATTGTTGTTCTATTGTGACAGTTTGCTTAACCCCCACACAAATACCTACAAATAAGAGTTCTTAGGAAGACATAGGACATACCTTCTAGTTTCTGGATTTGTCCACCCCATTCACTCACACACACACACACACACACACACACACACACACACAGTTCCCAGCCACCAAAACTTGTATTTTGTTTTTTATTTTTTTTTTAAGATCTGTTTATTTATTGAGAGAGAGAGTTGGGGGGGGGAGCAGAGGGAGAGGGAGAGAGAAAATCCCAAGCAGACTCCCTTCCAAGCACCGAGCCCAATGCAGGGCTCGATCCCACGACCCTGAGATCATGTCCTAAGCCAAAACCAAGAATCAGATGCTTAACGGACTGAGCCACCCAGGTGCCCTCCCAAAACTTATATTTTAAAAGGCGTGTCCAGTTGATTAAAGCAGCTGACTTCCACCTCAGGGAGTTCAAAAGCAAAGGCCTCCCTGTAAGACCAGGAAGGCTGCTCAGTAGTCTGCCCCTTCCTTCTCTTCTTTTTTGGGGTGTCCAGGGCTTGGAGCTGTGTGACCTTGGGGAATAAATCCTGTTTTTCTTTTTTCTTTTTTTTTTTTTTAAGATTTATTTATTTTAGAGAGAGCACGCATGTGAGCAGGGGGAGTGGCAGAGGGAGAAAGAAAGAGAGAATCCCAAGCAGACTCCCCACTGAGTGTGGAGCCCAGTGTGGGGCTCTATCCCAGGACCCTGAGATCATAACCCAAGCCAAAACCAAGAGTCGGATGCTCAACGAATTGAGCCACCCAGGTGCCCCCAGATCCTGTTTTTCCATTTATATTGTGCAGAGCCATTTGGGCCATGTGTTAATTTACCTTTGCCGTTGTGCCCAATTACCACAAACTTGGTGGCTTCAACAACATAATTATCCTACAGTTCTGTAGGTCAGAAGTCCAAAATGGGGCCCACTAGGCTAAAATCAAGGGGTTGGCAAGGCTGAGTTCCCATCTGCAGCTTGTGGAGAGGATCTGCTTCTTTGCCTTTTCCAGTGTCTAGAGGCCACCCCATCCCTTGGCTCACGGTCCCTGCCTCCATCTTCAGAGCCGTGCTGCCCCTTTCTTGTCTCCTCTGCAGCCGCGTCTCCCCCGACTCTTATTCTGCCCTCCCTGTAATTACATGGGGCCCACCCAGATCATCCCAGATAGCCCCCTATTTTAGTTTGGCTGCTTTGCGACCTTAATCCCACCGCCTGCAGCCTGAATTCCTCTGTGCCATGTAATTTACCATATTCACAGGTTCTGAGAGTTAGGACATGGACATCTTTGGCGAGTCATGATTCTGCCCACCACAGGGTACAAGCTCTTTCTCTAAAGAAGGAGGGCCTGTGGGTCTGGGTGAGAGGCCTCTCAGGCAGTTATACTGCAGCCAGATTGACCCTGACGTGAGCAAATGCACAATCAGTGTCTCGGCCAAGTCATTAGAACAGTGGCTTCAGCATCAGACAGCCCTGGGTGTACCTAGCAGCTCTTGCCTAAGCCGTGTGAACTTGGACAAGTCTACTCACTTCTTAGAGCCTAGGTTTCCTCATCTGTGCCATGGGGATGATAATGTGAAAATTAGACAAAATAGTGCAGGTAAACTGCATACCTTAGTGCAGATAGCTACGTTCTTTACTCTCGTCATTCAGGACGACCTTTCTGTCCCCTGTCCCAGACTCAGGAGTGGGTTTCTTGTTAGGCGGCCCTGAGCAGTTAACACGGGGAGCTGTGTTCCACAATAAAATGGCGACTTTCTCGCCCTACCCTGAGCGTTGACTTATGTAGTGGCTGAACATGTTACTGTGTTCCGACCCCCAGACTTCACACCTAACCCAACTAACCTCAGTCTGCTCTCTCATTTTCCCAGGTTGGTGGTTCGTCAGCACTGCCGAAGAGCAAGGCTGGGTCCCCGCAACCTGCCTGGAAGGGCAGGACGGTATGCAGGATGAGTTTTCCCTACAGCCCGAAGAAGGTAGGAAGGAGCTGGAGCCTTGCGCTTGCCGGAGAGACCTGTGCTGGTCCCATCACCCATGTAGGGACCTCCTTACCCAGCCCGTCCCTGCTCTTCAGCCTCTGCCCCCAAGTCTCAGTGGCTCGCTGGCTCAGGACATGAAGCCAGGCCGTGGGGTTGGGGCTGACGGCAAGCCTGCCCTTTCTCAGGGGCTTTTGGGAGCCAACTCAGGTGAGCCTGGCCAGAGCTGGGGCCCTAACACCTCCATGGGACCCCAGGAGGGCCCCAGCCTGATCACCGTCAGCACCTCACTATTCTTCCCCTGAACTATTCTGATGGCCAGGATGCTGGGGCTCCTGCCAGCTCATTTGCAAGACAACTGAAGCTTTCTATAAACATCTGTGCTTTCTCAGTGATTCGAACCGGGCATCAGGATTAGGGCCAGCCCTATCCACTTACCCACACACACTTCCGTTTCTAGGAGAACGTACCCGCCAGGTGTCCCGAAGGGTGGTTCCTGCAAAGCCAGAAATACTACCACCCAACTGACTCCCGATTTCCCCACTAGGAGCATTCCTGAAACCAGAGGACGAGTTCATCTTAGCTAATGAACAGAAGGTTTTGAGAGCCAGACACACCTGAATGTGAATCAGCTGCACCATTGTGGGCTGAGTAGGGCCAGCGGCTTAACCTGTCCCTACTTAGCCCCCTTCTCTAAAAATGGAAATGATGATGTCTATATCATGGGATTTTTTTTTTCTTAGTTAAATGAGATTCCATATGCAAAGCATTTGCCAAAGAAGCTGAAACAACAAATAACCAGGAACAGTTAATATATAGCTATGCCTCACCCAGGGTTGAGCATTTGGGGCTTTTAGCTGACTGTTTTGGGGAAAGCACAAAACCACTTTCTGTGTTTATCAGGAAAGGGTGAGAAGAAGGGGGATATTTCTGTGCTCAAAGGTTAACAAACAAATGTATATATGGCTTTGCGTTTAGTGTTATGAGGGCCACACCTGTCAGAGTAAAACTTCTGTTGGTTTGCTCAGTTTTGTGGGGCCCTCCAGGCACTAGGGGCTGGGCCAACTAAAAGAATCAACTCAGATTCAGGGGTTGTGATATACTGCATTGAAACTGTAGCTCCCTTTGACAGTTAATGATGAGCATTACGGGCATCCCTCTGTAAGGGATTGATGATTAACCCCATTTTACAGATAAGGAGACAGGCCCAGAGAGGTAGAGACACCTGCCTGGGGTCACACAGCTAGAAGATAGGAGAGAGACCACATTTTCCTAAGTCTGTACATTTTTCTTCCCCCCGACACAAGGGCTTCTCTTAGTGCCTCTTTGTAAGTCACGCTAGGAATAGAATTATGTCCACTGGTGGCCTCTGCACCCAAGTCCAAGGTTAATACTCAAGAACTTGGTCCTTTTAAGACACCTGGGGCTTGGCATAGGCTCAGAAATAATTACTCCTAAATGGGACCACGTGCTTGGTGTCCCCTTTGCCTCCAGACACTGGAAGTGCCTTCTCCTCACCTCTGCCTTCTGCCCTTCACCTCCACATGCTGCCTGTCCAGTCTCGTGGAGGTACTGGTCTTTGCCCCGGCCCGTGGGCCGCCGCCGGACTCTGGGGGACTTGTATGCCATCAGCTGGCGTCAAGGTGCCTACCTTGGGGTTTTCTTCCCTGGTCGGTGTTTGGAGCCGGGTCCTTGCATCTGCATGTACCTTCCTGCTCGGGGACTGCCCGTGCCTGTTGCATGTGAGAAACTGACCTTGTCTGTACCCTGTGCGTGTTGGCATGTAGGTCTGGGCAGTCTTTCTCAGCCTGGGGCTCTAAAGTTTCCCAGGTTAAAAAATAATGCCTGGGGCCTCTCTAATGCTGAGCCAGTGACCTGTTTCTGTCATCAGACACATTATAAGGGAAAGAAAGCCATGTCAAACTGTCCTAAGCAAAAAGGAAAGTGTACTAACTCATCCCTGAAAAGTCTGGGGAAGGACTAGCTACAAGCATGGCTGGATCCGGGGGCTTCAAAACGTTGCCGGGACCTGGGACTCACTCTCCCCACCTCTGCTCTGCAGTCTGCCTTGCTGACACTGTTTTCTTGTGACAACAGTTCCGGGTACCTTTCAGGGTTTCAGGGATACCCACCCAAGGAAGTGCTTCTTCAACACAAGGCCTAGGACTGGGGCTGACTGACCTGGCTGGGTCACATGCTGTCCCTGAACCCATCACAGTGGCCAGGGGAATATAGCACTTTGGCCAGGGCAGGGTCATGTGTGCTCCCCCTCCCCCAGGCAGTGGTGAGGTCGACCTTACCCAGACTGTGTGGACAGAGGCTGGTAGCACCAGCAGAGGAAGAGCAGACAGATGCAAAGCAGGCAGGGTCAGCAGGCGCCTGCCAGCAGTCTGCATGGTCTCCCACCTTGAGCTTTGTTAAGGATCACTGAGTGTTTCATGGAGCCCAGGGAGACTGTCCGGATGCCAGAGCCTCTCCCTGTGTAATTCAGCTGAAGGATCGGGCCCCACGGGAGTCCAGGGCCCACAGGACTGCCTATATTTAGTCTAGGACCCAGGCAGCACCCCTTCCCCCCCAACCAAATAGAACTGCTGTGCATCTGCGGGCTTGAATGACCCCCCTGCACCCTCACAGCTCCCACACCCCACACTGCAGCCACCATGAGTGAGGGTAACAGCTCTGCTGTACATGGGATCTGTGTAACTCGAGTCAGCTCAGCCCCCACAGAGCAGGTCAGTGGGCTAGATCAATCAATAAATAAACTCCCCGTGTGTCTGCCGCCTCCCTCGACACCAGTTGGACAGGCCACAGGCAGCCTGTGGTGTTTTCCCAAAGAGAGACCTGCCGTCAACACCCACAGCCCACAGCTGGCTCAGTCACTCCCTGGGGGCTGGAATGTAACCAAAACAGGAAAGCCCTTTCCTCTCCTTGCCCGTGTCTGCTGGGACACGCATCCGTTCTGTCTCAGCAGTGACTGCTGACAGGGTGGAGCACAGGAGCTCTTCTCTCGTTCTCGCGAGGACCCTGCCGGAGTGTGACAATGAGCAGTCTCCCAGCAGAGCCTGAGCAGCAGTCCCGTGGCTTGGAGGGGAAAGAGTGGGGAACCACAGAGAGTGAGGTGGAAGGCACCCCAGTTACATTAATGAAAATTGAAGCAGGCAGTGATTTTACCATGTGTGTATATGTATATATGTGTGTGTGTTTATATATAAAATTATGATGTGCACCCTTAGAACTGAGACAGTGTTAAATGTCAATTACACCTCAATAAAAAAAAACCCGAAACATTCAAAATAAAATTGAAGCCTCAGGCATGGTTGGATCCAGGGGCTTGAAAATAATTAACGAAAAACCAAGATCAGTTATCAGCTAGGTAACAAAAATTGCTTTAAAAATTAAAAAAAAAAAGGAAAGATGGGGCGCCTGGGTGGCTCAGTCGGCTAAGAGTCTGCCTTCGGCTCAGGTCATGATCCTGGAGTGCTGGGATGAAGCCCCATGTCAGGCTCCCTGCTCAGCGGGGAGTCTGCTTCTCCCTCCCCCTGCTCATTCTCTCTCTCTCTCTTTCTTACTCTCTCTCAAATAAATAAATAAAATCTTTTAAAAATTTTTAAAAAGAAAGAGAGTTACTTGCTGTCACCCCCTTGATAGTGATTTCAGCCTGAAACTATCTGCTGCCCAAAATCCAGCTCATCCCTGACCCCTCCACCAGCAGGAGCTGTGGAAGAGCCACAGAAGAGTTAACCCCCTCTGGCATGAGCAAGGTGGCTCTCACCAGGTCCTTCATTTTACTAAACATTGACTAATTAACTATAAACAGTTACACAGTATTCCTGGTGCCATGCCCAGTGCTAGAGACAGGAATGAATGAGACAGACAAAAATCCCTACCTTCATGGCATTTATATTCTAGCAAGGAACACAGACGCAAAATGCAATAAATAAGTAAATCATATGCTGCGTTAGAAGGCAATTCCTGGTATGGGGGAGAAAATAAACCTAGGTAAGGGGGTTGAGGATGCCATGGGTCTGAATACTGCATAAAGCAAGGTCCAGGAAGGTGACCTTGAAGCACAGCTTTGAGGAAGGTGAGGATGAATGCGTGACACTGAGGGATTTCAGAAGGATTGGGACCTGACCTTTGTCCTGCATCCTGTTCATGCTTGCCCGGGGTCATCCAGACCCAAATGAGGGTCTAGAGGGTCCCCAGAAATTTCTGGAGGAACTCCTTCCCTCTGATGGGCAAGGCATCTCTTGGATCATAGCCTTGGCCATCAGCATCTCAGGACTCTCACGGCCCTTGACTTAACCCAGCATCCCTTTGTTCCCACAGAGGAGAAGTACACAGTCATCTACCCGTATACAGCTCGCGACCAGGATGAAATGAATCTAGAGAGAGGGGCCGTGGTGGAGGTCATCCAGAAAAACCTGGAAGGCTGGTGGAAGATCAGGTACCTGCTGCAGCTGGGTGGGTTTCAGGTCACACGGTCTCTGGGTGCCCAGAGGTCTGTATGTGATTGCAGATGGATGGGGTAAGCTTTTCACCTGAGCCATAAAAGGATGCTTCTCCTCAGTGCCCTTTGGCCTCGCTCCCTATCCAGATCCTTCTCTAAAATTCCATAATAAGCAAAACCTCCAAACACACAGATGGCAGTAACCCCGTTGAGCAAGACTGGCTTCTACCTCCACGTGTTTCTCATAAGGAGAAGCTGTGCTGCCCTATGTGGACGATTTCCCACCCCAGCCCTACTCTGAGACCAGTACGATGCATAACACCACAGGGACTGTAACTCATCCTCGAGCTGATCATGTGTCCTCATCTCAGAATCCAATAGTAAAAGCAGGAGACTGGCTTTCAAGCTCTCTGTCACAGCTCTTTCACCCACGTGATGAATCAGCACCCCATGATTATGTAGGGTGACCAACTCATTCTGGCCTGCCTGGCACTTTCCCAATTTTGGTAATGAAAGTCCTGGGCGCCCCTCCTTGGCCACCTTAGTAGGCGGCTGTGGCCACAAGAAATTAGGGCAAGGAAAGAAGTCTGAGGTCCCTGGGACCTGGTTGTCTGTGCAGCGATGTGAGGCAGGGCATTAGGGCCACTCATAGGGGGCCAAGCCTGTGGCACTTCGTTCATTCACTCAACACACACACACCAAGAATGTGTTCCGGGCCAAGCCCTATTCTGGGAGTTGGGGAGTCGACAATGAGAAAGACACAGTCGTTCACAGCAGAGGCACAGAAATCAGGCTCAGTTACGGGGCAGGGTGGTCATGTGTGGGGATCTGGAGCACAGAAGAGGGGCTCCTCAGCCCAGGGGTCAGGAAGGCTTCCTGAGAGGGGCTGCTGAGGAACTGAGGTTTGAAGCAGGAGTGGTTTCACCGGGTCCCTCGTGAGGTTGCGGTAGGATGTCGGTGAGGCGTGCCATCATCTGAAGGTTCGGCTGAAGCTGGAAAGAGACAGAGCACGGATTTAAACTAGAACCTTTCTCACCCAGAGCCACTCACTTCTGTGTGTGTTGCTGTGCTTACGGCTTTGCGACCTCAGACAGTCAGCTGTTTGGTACTGACAGGGGCCTGGGTCGGATGTGGCGTGACGTTTTTCAGCGAGGACAAGATGTACTCCCTCTCAGAGGGCATTTTAAGATTGAAAGACATCAAATTCTGCAGATTTCTCTCTCCTAGAAATTGGCTTCCAGTTATAAAGGACCTTTTTGTCATCGAAACACAGTGCCATTTAGTTCTTAAAGTGATTCCTGACGAGATTTGGCCTTGCCATATGTCATCTCTAGTCATTTAGGTCTATTCAACTGTCCCCAAAGGCGTGGGCACGCACCTGTTTTGTGGGTCAGACCAGTGGCATGCTTGTAAATAGTTAACATCCAGTTCTCCAAGGGAATGCTGCCCTTGAGTTGTGGTGTTTGCCAATTTCTATAGGTGTAAATACTCCCATCAGGTGATTTCAGGCCATCCGCGCAATGTCTGTAACCGTGGGGTTTGGAAGAGATGGACACAGTTGACTGTCCCGAGCTGGTGCGAATGGGCTCCAGCACTCCTCTGGTCCAGATTGACCCCTCCGGCCATGCTGTTAAACTGAGCTCCGTTGTGCAGAGAATTAAGTGATCATCTCACTCATTGAGTTCCTTTGGAATTCAGTGAGCTGTCTGTCAGGGTTTCGGTCTCTGTGCAGTTCAGGGACCGCCAGCTGATTCTTAGCAAGCCCTGCAACCAGACCCTGACTGGCTTCGTTCCCCTCTGAAGGGAACACGTTTAATCTACTTGTTAACCCATGTGACCGGAGCCCGCCCTGCCCGTGCCAGGCTTTGTGCCAGAAGCTGGGGCTGCTGGGAAGAGGTAGCGACACGCAGAGGTTAGGAGCAGAGACTAGGTCTGAATCCATTTCTGCCGCCTCTCAGGGTTGGATGGATGAAATGTGTCCACAGCTATAAAGTGGTTGGAACAGACTGGCACACAGGAGGTGCCCACTAAGTGCCAGTTATCATTGTCATCATTGTCATTGCTGCAGTGACAGTAACAGGACAGCGAGCGTAGCAGGTGTTTTATGGCTGCTCGCCTTTGCCAGGCCCATGGGCAGATTGTCCATTTGTCCTTTTATTTCTTCGTTCCGTTCACTGGCCCCGAGGCTCTCGCCACACAGAGATCGGTCAAGTACCATCTCTGCCCCAGGCGTGTGTGTTCATACTGGGGAGACAGAACCACGTAGCCAAGTGTCGCCGTGTGTCATAGGTGCTGCGGTGGTGGTGTGTGCGGGAGGCAGGGCAGCACTGTGGAGGGAGGGCTTCGTTCTCTGTGAGGTTCAGGAAAGGCTTGAGAAAGGAAATGACATTAAGCAGAGCTGGGAAAGAAGAGCAGGGAGGAGAGTGGGAAGGGGTTTTCCTGACACAGGGTTTCCAAGAGCGGAGGCTGGGGAAGTGAAAGATGGTGGTGCCTTTGGGAGACTACAAGCCTTATAGGGTGGGAAGGACATGGAGGTTGCTGTGAGAGATGAGGCTGGGAGGCCGGCAGAGGCCGGGCTGGAAAGGCCTTGAATGCCAAGCTGAGGGCAGCAAGGGGTGTGCCAGCTTCTGGCCCATCGCTTCTGCCATCTGGGACGTGAAGCCCAGCTTCTTCCCAGGGGCCTGGCCGAGCAGCCTCCCCGGCATCCTTCCTCCTCCCAGGTACCAGGGCCGAGAGGGCTGGGCCCCAGCCTCCTACCTGAAGAAGAACAGTGGGGAGCCCTTACCCCCGAAGCTGGGCCCTGGCTCCTCAGCCCACACCGGTGTCCCCGACCTGGACGGAGTTTCCCGGCAGCAGAGCTCGGTGGGCCGGGATAGGGAGCTGCTCAACAACCAGAGGGACGGCCGATTTGAAGGCCGCCCGGTGCCTGACGGCGACATCAAGCAGAGTGAGTGATCACCCCCTGCCCCTGCAACCCCACCAAGCTCGTGCTTGGGGGGCTGCGTGCCTACTACGTGCCAGGCTCCATGCTCAGAGCTCCTCACATGTTGTCCCTCATCCTCACAACAGCCCTGCTGCCCCACATCCTGTAGACAGGAAATCCTAGGTAGCTTAATCTGCACCACGGTTTTTCCACCATCTCATGGTGATCGAGAGAGCTACTGTTTCTCAAGCCCTCCTGTGTGTCGGGAATCTTATAATTCGTCTCATTGGCTCCTTGTAATGACTTTTGAGGGACTAAATTACTTTTGTTTTACAGATTAGGACCCAGAGACATTAGGTGGGTTGTCCCAGGGCCACCCAGCTAGTAAACGGTGGGGCTGGGACTTGAACCCAGGCCCTCGTGACTCCAGTGCCTGTGCCCTCTCTGCATGGCCTCACTTCTGAGCCAGAAGAAGTTGACCTTCTGTTGATTTACTCTAACCACAGTTCTTCACCCATCTTCCTTTCCATAGCCTCCCATGTATATGTTTCTGTTTAATGTTCCCAACACACCTAAGAGTAGGCCTCCTTATTATTGTCTGTGACCTGCACAGGACCCCAGCCTCGGGCATGTAGCCCTGTCCTGGTTGGTTGTGCTGGGGGCAGGGGGGGGGTGCCAAGTGCTGGGAAAGTCCCCTGCCCTCCCCCTGGCTAGGCTTCTGCTAGGCTTCTCCAGCTATTTACAGTGGCTCAGAAAACTGCTAGAAGTCAGTGAATTCTTGAAACTCAAGAATTTCTCAGTCCTCTGCTCAGCTGATTTCTCAGAAGAAAACACTGACATGCCGTGGTGGGGGGAGTTCTGGCCAGCCCCTGCTTTCTGTGGTTCTCTCATGGACAGGAGCCCAGGGGGATTCCCATTAACACTAGAGCAAATGAGACTCTGAAACCCCACGTCTTCGTGAGGCTATAGGTTCAGATGCTCAAGCAAAGATACTCCCCCTCCCCCTTCCACACACACACACCCAATAACAGGGGCTCAAATAATTTAGGTGTTTGTTTCTTTCTCACAAAGTGGTCCAGCTCCATGTCCAGGGCTGCTATGGAAGCTCCATGAGTCAAGAGTCTTGTTACATGCTGTCTATCTTGTGTTGCCCTCATCTTTCTAGTCCAAGATGGTGCTCCACTCGTCCAGCCAATGAAAAAGGCAGGGGGAAGGGGAGGTACACACTTTGCCCTCTGTCACATCCCACTGGCCAGAACTGAGTCACAGGGCAATACCTAGCTGCAAGGGAGTCTGAGAACTGCAGCCTTTTTGTAGCAGCTAAGTGTCTGGCTAAAACTCTGTTGCTATTGAATTCTAACAGAAGACAGAGGAGATGGGTATTTGAGAGATTAGCAGTCCTCTCCACGTCCCAGCTGCTAAACTAGCCGTCTGTGTGGACTCGTGCTGAGCCAGCTCATGGGGTGACACATGCTCTGCCTTGAGCCAGGAGCCTGGACCACTGCAGTCATCCTCTTGACGCTGAGACCCTGAGCGAGGGCAGCCCAATTCCAGAGCAAAAAGCCCCGATGTCCTCAGTCTGTTTAATATTGCACGCCCTCCAGGTGCCAAGCGCCTGGCACGTACTGTTGACTTTCATCTCTGCGCTGCCCCTGGGGGGCCAGCATTATCCCCCTTCTACAGATGGGGCCTGTGGGTCAGAGTCAGATGACTGGTGGCAAGCCAGCCCCCCGGGTTATACTGAAGCCTGCGCTTTTCGGCCTCCGTGGAAAGCTTCTCATGGCTCCGGCGCATGGGCAGTCCCGAGGGTCCTGAGCCAAGTCTGAGCAGCCCCTTCCCGGTCAGGCTGTTCCTTCCCACGAGAAGGGTCTCAGCGGCTCACTAATACGAGCCCGGAGCGTGATGCCTGATCCTCTGCAGGACAGAACGGGTCTTTCCTGGTGTCTCCCTCAGGACTGCATCTGTAGAATTCTGCACCTGTGTGCAATAAGATCTCATCTCTCTACAGGATCACCCAAGATGAGGCAGAGACCACCTCCTCGCCGGGATATGACCATAGTAAGTGGACCATTGCTGCCGGGAAGCCAGCCCTTGACCTGAAACGGGCCCCTCACAACCACCGTGCTCTTTCCAGAGATGTTCTCTTGCCTCTCCACACAGCTGCCTCGTGAAGCAGGCTGTACAAGCGCTGGTCCCAGCCCCAGGGGAAAGGCTAGGGTCCCGGGGCGGGGGAAGCAAGTTACCTATCTATGGCTTTGGGACAGTTAGGTCTCAGACGTGCTCTCTGCTTCCTGAGCTCACCATTTATTAAGCATCAGTTGGGTGCCCTGCAATGTACTGGGTGGGTGCTTCAAGACATTAACTTATTGAATGCTTATAGTGACCCACCAGGTAAATCCCCATTCTACAGAAGACAAAACTGAGGTTCCAGAAGGAAAGTGATTTGCCCAAAGGCGCACAGCACACATAAGCAGTATTTCCAACCCTGGAAATGGGTTGGACCAGGATGGGTCTGACCTGCAAATCTGTGTTCTTTCCACAACCCTCGCTGCCTCTTGAGTTCAGAGACTATTGTCCCGCCTCAGATTTTCATGATTGTCAGTAAATGTCCCATGTTTCTCCTCGCTCCGTAGGTGGTGGGCCAGTGACCCATCTAGGAGATGATGATCTGAGTGGTCCTCTGTGTTTTGTCCCTTAGAATCCAAATGGGTCCAGCAGCACCCTTCAAGGGTGATTGTGTGCCCCAGTCCCTTAGTGCCTCCCCCCTTCGGCCAATGGTAACGGATTTACCCTGGACTTAGCACTGTGTTTAATTTTGCCAGCCTCGTGGTCTCAACCTGCCCAAGCCTCCCATTCCACCCCAGGTGGAGGAAGAGTATTACACCATTGCTGAATTCCAGACAACCATCCCTGATGGCATCAGCTTCCAGGCAGGTCTGAAGGTCGAGGTGAGTGGACCGGGTATCCCTTTGCCTACTTGTGACTCTTCAGCTGTGGCACCACCTCCTGCTTCTCTCATTTCTCTCTTCTCACCTCCTACTTCTTCCTTCCTTCCTTCCTTCCTTCCTTCCTTCCTTCCTTCTTTGCTTCCTTCTTTCCTTCCGTTCTTTGTGACGGCTTTACTGAGGTATCATTCACACTATACAATTTGCTGGGTTTAAATTATACAATCCAATGGTTTCTGGCATATTTACGGACTTGTGCAGCCATCACCACATTCAGTGTTAGAACATTTTCATCGCCCAAAAAAGAAACCCTGTACACACTTACTGTCACTCCCTGTTTCCCCTCACTCCCTCCCCGCCCCCTGCCCCCAGCCCTAGGCAACCACTAATCTGCCTTCTCTCTATATAGCTTTGCCTGTTGTGGACATTTCATATAAGTGGAATCATACACCGTGGGATCTTTTGTGACTGCCTCGTATTCTGTTTTTATCACCACCTACTTCCCTTCTTGCTTCTCTCTCTCCTTTTCTTCCCACTCCTTTGCTAGTCTGCTCCATTCCTGCACAAAGGCCAGCACAGATCCTTTCTCCCTTTCCATTTCTTTTCTTTCCTCATGGAGTTAGAGGCTCCTGCCCGTGTTTCCTGGAGAGCCTGCAAGTAAGGGTGGAGCACTAACTGCCAGGCACTGAACTGAGCACTTCACATACAGCCTCTCTCTTAATCTTTTACTCTTGCGAGGCAGGACCATTAACAATCCCCATTTTTCAGATGAGGAAGCTTTGGCTCGGGAAGAAAGGTGCTGTCCAGAATCACACAGCTAAAACGTGGCAGAGCCGTTTGAACCCATGTCTGTCTCCAGATTTGAACCAGGAGTGTTAACATCCTATTGTTATTGATCTCCTGGACATTTGGGAACTCCAGGAGGGTAGAGACCATATCTGTTTTTCTACTCTTGTGTCCTTACAGCTAGCACAGTGCTTGGAGGAAATATTGTTGAACTGATGAAAATTTGTCTGCCCACTAGCCTCCTGCTTAACACTCAGAAGGCCAGCGAGTGTCTTCTTCGTTCTTGCCCAGAGCCCTAGCATCGGGGCTGGTCCACAGTAGGTGCTCAGTAAACCGTTGCTGTAGGAATGAATGTTGGGGTGATCGAAGGAAGTAAGGAGTAAATGGATGACTGTTATCAGCGCATAAGTGTGGTATGCCCTGAGGGTCTTTAATCACTCTCTAAGAGATCTGCAAAGCACCCACTGTTTTCCCTCCAGCCCTGACACCTCCTGCCTCTCTCTCTTGCCCATCATGCCCTCTTTCCCATCGTGCCCTGGGCCAGCTGCCCAGTCAGCTCAGCAGAAGGTAGTTTCCTAAAGGTGTATCCTGGGCCTCAGCACCATTGATTCTGCCCTGACCTCTCCAGAAGCTTGTCCTCAAGCCAAGTGTCTTTCAACGCATTGAAGGAGGGCTGTCTGCAGGGACATTTAAAGAGCTTGAGCTAAAGTCTCTCAAACTAATTTTTATAAAATGTAAATCCCGATCTATGTAGATAGACTGAGGGGAAAGCAGAAATACCCACAAAGTTCTAAAAGGGTGTTTCTCCTGCCCTTTCTTTTTTCCATCCTGACCCTCCCAACTTCAAATCTACAGAGAGAACTCACAAGGCATCTTGCTTGTGCTACAACATCATTCTATGCCGAGGTCCGCCATTTTGCTGCCGTAAAACTTATACGTCCAAGTCTCACATGAAACATGTGACTTCTCCTTAATATCTTTTCACCTCTAAGACCTTCCTCCAAACAAAGTCTGTTCCCGTTGCTTTTCTGCGATCCCCACTGGTCAAGCTGGCCCTTCCCCAGCTCTTTTACTCTCTCTACCAGGAATGACCTTGCTTTAACCCAGCTCCTAGCGCTCCACCTGCCTTCTCATAGAAGGCACTCAAGGTCATTTTTTGAATTGAACTTGGCATCTCAAAATCCAACTTATTCTTCAAATCCGTGCTTCTTCTGTGAAGCCTCCCCTGATTCACATTGGTTTCCCTGCCCTGCCCTGTTATGGCTTCTCTGGGGCCATATATCTCAGTTTTTAGTTGAAGACAGTCCCTCACTTCTGTACATTCTTTCTTTCTTTCTTTCTTTCTTTCTTTCTTTCTTTCTTTTTTTTAAGATTTTATTTATTTGAGAGAGAGAGAGGAAGAAAGCACAAATAGAGAGGAGGGGCAGAGGCAGAGGGAGAAGCAGGCTCCGGGCGGAGCAAGGAGCCCCATGTGGGGCTCGATCCCAGGACCCCGGGATCATGACCTGAGCCGAAGGCAGACGCTTAACGACTGAGCCCCCCAGGCGCCCCCTGTACGTGCTTTCTTGACATCCTAAGAAGTGAGTGTGGTTTTCCCCTCCTTCTTCAGTGATGTTTTGGGTTTTGTCTTCCAAATTGAAAGTCCTCTTCCCTTGGCACTTTGAACAGAGTGCTCTGTTCTCTTCTCACGTCTGGTGCTACTGGTCAGAAGCTACTACCTACCTAATGCTTGTTGTCTTGTTCAGTATCTGTCCTTTCTCCTGTTTTCTCAGGAGTTCCTCACTATCTTTAATATGATGGAATTTCAGTAAAGTGTGTCTCTTTTTATCCCGCTCAGCACGTGGTGGGCCTTTTTGATCTAGGCCTCAGGAGATCTTCCCAGAGTTGTGTCCCTTCACTCTCTTTATTCTTTCCCCCCGGGGGCAGTTACGATTACACAGCTGTGCGACCTCCTGGCCCTACTCTCCACGTCTCTTAACTTTTCTTTCGCATTCTCCATCTTCGTGCCTTTGTGCTGCATTCCTGGAGCATTCTGCTTCACCTTCTAGCTCATTCATCGGCTCTTTAACAGTTCGGTTCGTCACTGATTTTACCTCAGCAATCGTAGTTTCCGTGTCCGAGAGCTCTTACCGATTCCTCTTCCGGGTCGCCTGTTCTTGTTTCAGTATAGCCTGTTCTTTTATGAATGCGATGCCCTTCCATACCTCTCTAAGGGTACTAAGTATGTTGAATTTAAGGTCCTATTATTATGGTCCATTACCTCTTTTCTCAGTTGTACGTCCTTTGCCGCAGCGTGGGTGTTTATTTAAGTTCTTCTCATGGCGTTAGTACCCACCTTGGGCTGCGCAAGACGAGGCAGCAGTCAGACGGCCCAGCTGGGGCGTGTACACAAGGGGCTGGACACCTGCCAGGGGTTTCAGTGCCAGGTGGGGGGCTTCTGAGCCAGCCACTGAATGGTGCTGGGTGTCTCTGATCCAAGCTCCCACATTCACTGCATGCACTTGTGAGCAATCACCATTTTTCTTCTGCCTGCCCTATAAGAATGGGATAAGGGACATGAGAGGTCACCCAGCCTGGCTGCCTCTGCCATGGTATGTCAGTTCATTCCCTGTCACTTGCTCCTGCACCTCCCTGTACCCAAGTTCCACCACCTTGAAGTCTGGGGGACCTCAGCCCTCCTCCACCTTTTGTAGCAGGTACCCCTGCAGTGGTCCTGGGCCACATAGCCTCCCTCTGCTGCTTCTGTCCGTCTGTGAGTGCTCACAAGTCCTGGTCCACTAACATACCCCACCCCACCTCCTCCTTCTGAGCTGGGCTTTGTATTCATTTATTTCCCTGGATTTGTTGGATAAAAGGGAAGCTGCTATTCACTCCATCTCTCACGTTGAAACCAGAAGTCCAACTTGCATAATATAAAGGTTTACTTTTTTTTTTCTCAGAGCACTGAAAAACACGATAAAACTACCTTGTCCTTTAAGCATTTTGTACAAACACACACCGTTGTTCCAAGCATGCTGGCAATTTGAACATATGCCGATAGGCACCACCACTCCCTGGCTCAGAGTGTTCTGAAATCAGCCAAGGGCAGCTCAGGATGTCGTGGACAATGCACTGAAGCTGAGGGCTGAGTCTGCATGCAGCAGGGAGTTCATGGGTCCTTGGGACTTTCTGGGGGTGTTGGGAGTCTCCCTCCTGGCCCCACCCCCATTTCAACTAGAATCAATCCCCTTTTTTCTTTTTTTTTTTTTAAAGATTTTATTTATTTATTTGAGAGAGAGAGAATGAGAGACAGAGAGCACGAGAGGGAAGAGGGTCAGAGGGAGAAGCAGACCCCCCGCTGAGCAGGGAGCCCGATGTGGGACTCGATCCCGGGACTCCAGGATCATGATCTGAGCCGAAGGCAGTCGCTAAACCAACTGAGCCACCCAGGCACCCCCCCCCTTTTTTATTTCTGACTTTATCTTATCTCTCTTTGCTAAAGCTAATCCAATAAAAAAGCTCACATACCCAGCATTCTTTTAACTGGAACCTTGAAACTTCTTTGCTGATTGTTCCATGATGTCAGCCTATGGCTCTGCCAGTGATAGCTTGAGGGACCCAAGTGGGACGTAGTTGCCACTAAAATTGTTGGCTTTACCAGGGCACCTGGGTGGCTCAGTCGGTTAAGCAGCTGCTTTCGGCTCAGGCCATGATCCCAGGGTCCTGGGATCGAGCCCTGCATCGGTCTTTCTTGCTCAGCAGAGAGCTTGCTTGTCCCTCTCCCTCTGCCTGCCTGCCGCTCCCCCCTGCTTATGCTCTCTCTCTCACTATCTCTGTCTGTGTGTCAGATAAATAAAAATAAATAAAATCTTTAAAAAATAATAAAAATAAAGATTTTGGCTTTACCAAGTATTCTCTCATGAGCAATTCTGTACTTGCTAAATTTTCCTTTTTTCCACTTTTGATTCCTGGTTCATTTCAATGTCATCATAACCTTCAGAGTTCATTAATGGGGCCACTGTGGTCTCGCAGTGGAGCTACTGGGAGCATCTTAGTTCCCTACCTGGTCTATGTATGGTGAAGACATGTGTTGATGATAATGATGATGATGCTGGTATAGATACCCTCTGTGCCAGGTACCGTACCTACTTGAGAACTAGTATTCACAGAAGTCCCAAGAGGTTGATATCTTTAGCCCATTTTACAGATGTACCTGAGACAAAGCCCATTGCCAAGGGTTCTATAGCTAGTAAGCTGTGGAGCTGGAATTTGAACCCAGGTCTCTGTGGTTTTAAAGCCCAGGCTCTTTTCCTTCCCCTCCATTCTTATGATTGGGCATTTGCTTTTATTCATAATAGTTCTTGGCTTCTCTCTAGTAAATGAAAATGCCCATAAATCGTGATCAAGAACACAAATGTTGGGGCGCCTGGGTGGCTTAGTCATTAAGTGTCTGCCTTCGGCTCGGGTCATGATCCCAGGGTGCTGGGATCGAGCCCCTCATCGGGCTCCCTGCTCTGCGGGAAGCCTGCTTCTCCCTCTCCCACTCCCCCTGCTTGTGTTCCCTCTCTCGCTGTGTCTCTCTCTGTCAAATAAATAAATAAAATCTTAAAAAAAAAAACACAAATGTTTGTTTAGAGCTTCTGCCGTAGTATTTGCATACAGTGTAAGTTTAGCAAATCCCCATTCATATATTTCCCTGTGATTATTGTCCTATTTTCATTTTCTCACATACCCAGAGTTGAACTTGTGGCTCTGCCAACAGTAACTTACATGCCCAGAATCACTTTGTTACCAGAGCTACCGAGTGTGGGGTGACGTCACGTAAAGGGCTTGCGTTTATCAGTACCCTTTCTGGGAAACCAGTGGGACACGTTAAGCATACACCTGTCACATGCATCCTGCCTTGTCAGTGATCCGCCCTGTAATTTAATAATAGGGAACATTTACCTTTCAGCATGTATCAAGGGCTGTTGTCTGCGTTAGCTTATGTGGTCATCATGAAAATCCAGCAAGTGGGTGTTACTGTTCTCACCAGCCTCCCCATCTCGGGCTGTGGAATCTCAGGCACGCATTTTATGCAGGGCCATGCAGGCAACAAAAGGTGGAGCCAGGACTAGAACCCAGGTTGCAGGCCCCAGAGCTCAGCCTCTGCTTCCTGCACTGGGTCTGTGGCTGCCACTCCTCTCAGGCTGGGCTGGGTGGGGCAGAGGGGGGCAGTGGCAGGACCTCACCCGAGGCCCCCTTCGCCCCCTGCACTTCCCCACCTCAAGCACGGCTCCTCCCCCGGCAGGTCCCCTTGCCCGGGCATGGTCGAGGAGTGGTAAAGGCCTTTGACCCCCACCTCCACCGTTAACCTTCCACATGACCCTCTACCAGTTCCTCAGTTGTCCTGAGGCTCAGTTCTGCATCTGGAAAATGGGTTGATAATCCCCATCTCATAAGGCGGTTGCAAGCCTTCATCAGACCTCGTAGGCATGGGGCCCACAGGGAATCGCGGTGTATTTGCTCCAGCTGCCGTGACAAAATGGCGTTGGCTGGGTGGTTTAAACAACAGATTTATTTCCTCACAGTTTTGGAGGCTGGAAGTCCAAGGTCAAAGTGGCGGCAGGTTTGTTTTCTTGAGAGGCCTCTGGCCTTGGCTTAGAGGCAGCTGCCTTCTTGCTGTGTTCACACGTGGTCATCCCTCATTCTGAATGTTCTCTGGGTCCTAATCTCCTCTTATGAGCACACCAGTCATGTTAGCTCAGGGCCCACCCAGATGACCTCATTTTGATTTAATTACCTCTGGAAAGGTTCTTTCTCCCCATACAGTCACATTCTAAGATACGGGAGTTAGGGCTTCGACATATGAGTTTGAAGGGGACATAGTTCAGCCCGTAACATGTGACAGACACACCTTTCAGGCAACTCAGCTGTACAGTACTGAACAAAGAGGAGACGGGAAACATGAGACCTTAAATTTCGTGGGTGACTCCGCCCACTGTTCCATTCAGTGGGTGTATATCCCAGAGGGAGAAGGAGATAAGATGAAAGTTCCTTTTGCCCTCATCAACAGGGGTTCCCCTCTATCTAAACACGAGCTGAATGTGATTCCCGTGTTTAAGGGTATGCATTTTTGGTACTGTGTGGCCTCTAAACACCAGCCAACTGCGTCATCTGGTGCTCAACGGAAAGAGCCGCGATCAAGGCTAGCTTTGGCTATGTGGACTTTGCCTTGTACTTCTTTAGAAACATAGCAGACACTGCTGGTGGCCTGCCCTGTGTCCCGACCCAACCGAGTTGACCTGCAGCTGCACGCGGGTCCCTGTGTCTGAGAGCCTCCCACCTCCTCCACCTGCCTGAAGGCACCTGCCCAGAAAGGCCAGGGGGATTAATGCCCCAGGGGGGCCGGGGACTAGGAATCAGGAGGTAAACGGCCCCATCCCCCAGTTGGGATGAGTCTGCGTGGTCTCAAAGGGTCCCTGGCTGATTAAGTCCCAGTGGCCCAGAACAATGACCTCATAATTGGCTCTCTCTTTTCCCATTTCCTTACTTGCGCTTCTTAAAATCCCCTCTCAAATTAATGACCTGTACCCAGGTCCGTGTCTCCAGGACTGCTTCGGGGGATATCCAAAATTAGACAGAAACCTACCCGCGTGTAAGATGCTTCTGATGCACAGTAAAGTCTCCATAGTTGGTCCATCCCAGCCATTGTCTGGGAACCTGCTGAGTGAAAAATCCCTGCTTCTAGATTTCAGTTCCCTGTGGGTTCTCCCAGAGTCTTCTGGTTGACTGGCCCTGAGACCTTACCTACTGAGTGCTCTCCTCTGTCCTCCCCGCTCCAGGTGATCGAGAAGAACTTGAGCGGCTGGTGGTACATTCAGATTGAAGATAAGGAAGGATGGGCCCCAGCAACCTTCATTGACAAGTATAAGAAGACCAGCAATGCCTCAAGACCCAACTTTCTGGCTCCATTGCCCAACGAGGTGACCCAGCTCCATCCGGGGGATGCAGCAGCCATGGAGAACAACACGGGCAGCGAGGCCATCGGCCCCTCCCGGCCCCTGCCCGATGCACCACACGGCGTTATGGACTCCGGGATGCCGTGGTCCAAAGAGTGGAAGGGTGGCAAGGAGGCCCTGAGGAAGGCCTCTTCCGACATGTCCTCATGTGCCGGCTACGAAGAGATCTCAAGCCCCGACCTGGAGGAGAAGCCCAGCCTCCCTCCCCGTAAAGAATCCATCATCAAGTCAGAAGGGGAGCTGCAGGAGAGGGAGCGGCAGAGGATGGAGCAGCTCAGGGGCTCCTCACCCAAACCTCCGGGCATGATTTTGCCAATGATTCCAGCTAAACACACCCCCCCAGCCCGGGACAGCAGGAGACCAGAGCCCAAACCTGACAAAAGCAAGTTGTTCCAGCTGAAAAATGAGATGGGGCTGGAGTGTGGCCACAAGGTATTGGCCAAGGAGGTGAAGAAACCCAACCTCCGACCCATCTCCAAATCCAAAGCTGACCCATCAGAGGAGAAGACAGAAGTTATTCCCCAAAATCCCTTCTTGAAGTCCAAACCTCAGGTTAGGCCCAAACCGGCTCCTTCCCCCAGGACAGAGCCACCTCAGGGTGAAGATCAAGTGGACATCTGCAACCTCAGGAGCAAGCTGAGGCCTGCCAAGTCCCAAGAGAAGCCCTTACTGGATGGAGAGAGCAGCCACCAGGCTGCCGGGGGCCAAGATGTGGCCTTCAGCCGGAGTTTCCTCCCAGGTGATGGGCCTGGCCACACCCACGACAGGACGGGCAAACAGGATGGGCTCAGCCCAAAGGAGATGTCCTGCAGAGCCCCTCCAAGGCCAGCCAAGACCACAGATCCTGTGCCTAAGAGTGTGCCCGCCCCTCTCCAGGAGGCTCCCCCGCAGAGACCTGTGGTCCTGCCCCGGAGACCACCCCCCCCCAAGAAAACCTCCTCATCCTCCAGGCCCCTCCCAGAGGTCAGAGGGCCACAGCGGGAAGCCAGTGAAGGCAAGGCAGCTCCTGCCCCAGGCCGGGCCCTGCTGGTCCCTCCTAAGGCCAAACCTTTTCTTTCCAACTCCTCAGGCGGCCAAGATGACACACGAGGCAAAGGTGGTCTGGGACCACGGATGGTGGGCAAGATTGGAGAAAACAGGGAGAAAGTAGCTGCAAGCCCCATCCCCAACGCTGATGGCCCGAAGGATTCTTTATACGTGGCGGTGGCCAACTTTGAAGGAGACGGAGATACCAGCAGCTTCCAGGAGGGGACGGTGTTCGAGGTCCGGGAAAAGAACAGCAGTGGCTGGTGGTTCTGCCAGGTCCTGAGCGGGGCCCCTTCCTGGGAAGGGTGGATTCCTTCCAACTATCTCAAAAAGAAGCCGTAGCCGCCTCCTTCCCTGCCTGGCGGTCCCGCGAATCCCTGCTGGCTTTACCCACGTATTTAATATGCCTCTTAATTTATCATCCTTCACGCAGCTTCAAAGGAAGGAAGACTCTGGGGTACTGTGGTTTCTTCCCTCCCTTGGGTGGAGAGGAGTCCCTCCCACCACAGCATGCCCTGGAGGCTCAGAGGCCCCACCCCCTGCTTCCTCTCCAAGCCAGCATCCCTACCTTTCAGGCTGGTGGCATTGTAGGCCACCTAGCCGCGAGACACTTACTCTCCAAGGCCTCCAAGACCAGAACCATTCTCTGGAAACTGCAGAAACAGCCTCGCTGGTACCCCACCCAGTCTGTGACGGCTGGCTCCAACTTCTCCGTGTTTCTAAAAGTCCAGGGACTTTATTTACTCCGTGTCCAAAATGCTTGGTACCAGAAAGAACTCCATGCCCTGGCAGTTGGCTCCATTGCCAGTCCCAGAGAGCTGTCCTCCTCGAGGCTCTGGGACCATGAGCCTCTCAGGTTCAACCAGATGCAGCTGCCGCAGGAGTGGGCCTGAAGGTCCACTGAGCCATTCTGCCTCCCATCTTCTGTCTTGGGACCCTGACAGATCCTAAAGGGGTGCTTCCAGCCCCAGCATGCTTCACTTTCCTCACGCAGGGCTTTTTAAAATAGGAATCTCCACCCCACCTTGGGCCATTTCACTTTTGTCTCCGTCGAACAAGAATCTCCCAGGTTTGTTTGAAAGGAGCCATTCACAATCCACGCGCCTTGTGAGCACCCTTTTGCTGAGTAGCTGACAGGTGCCAGACTTTCCTGGGCACTTGACACTCTTGTTTTAACCCTCACATCAATCCTCTCTTGGGATATTGCACCTGTTTGATGGACAGAGAACCTCGGACTCTGTGCCCAAGGGCACACTAGCTAGGAAGAAGGGGAAAGAGGACTTGAGCTGGCCTGACTTCCATGCCTGTGCCCTCCCCCCAGTAGGAGGCTAACCAGGCAGGGAAAGGAAGAGGCTGACTGCCAGGAGCAGGTGGCCAAGTGGCTTGCTTGCGGTGTGGGTGAAGGGGCATTAGTGGCTGCTGCCATAGCCACCATCCCTCCAACCCACTGCAGCCTACACTGAGGGGTGCCCCGCACCCTCCACAGCTCCTCCTCCATGGCCGGGCAGGGTGGCGGGGGCGGGGGGGTGGAGTTTGCCCAGAGCTCTGGCGGTTGCCACAGGGCCTCGTTTCCTGCTGCTGTGTAAGTGCCCCCTCTGGGGGATAAAGCCTGTGGAGCTGAGGTGGTCTCCCATGCCAGCCTACAGGGGCCCTGATGGCTCAAGGACCAGCAGCTGGATGGCCACAGGCAGACTGCTGCTGCTTCTGCTCCTCTCTGGTGTTCATAGAGTACGTTCCTCTCTTTCCTTTTTGTGCGTGCCCTCTCCCTGTCTGTCCTCTCCCTTCCGTCTGGACAGATACGGTTCACCGAGGCACGCAGAGGCACAGCGACACTGCAGAATTAGAATCGGGACCCAGGGTTTCTGGCTCCCAGCCCAGAGTTCTTGCCCGTGGGCCAGGCTGCCTGGCGGGTGAGAGGGCACAGCCCCTCTTCATCCCACCCTGCCCTGCAGAAGAGGATCCAGCTCAGAGATCTCCAATTCAGTGTCCATCTGCTGGGATGCTCTGGGGAACCACAGGACCAGCTTTCCCGGGGACGCCCACTGTCCACCTGCAGTGCCAAAGATTTCGGTGCAAAGAGCCCTCTTCTGCACTCCTCTCTCCCCACGGCCACATGGACTCTGGATGCTTCTACAGGAGAAGGAGTGTTCTCTGACTCACGGTAGCACCTTTATTCCTTCCTTCAGTCAGTCTGTGAACCCCGTCCCCGGGGATCTTGGGTGCAGGGCCCTGAGGTGCTTCTGGCAGTGCCCACTTGCCCCTTGGCCCTGTGCCCAGAACCGTGGGGGAGGATGGCAGCCAGGGGAAGAAGGGAGGCTGGAAGAGGGCCACCCATGTCTTCGAGGTCCCCTCACTTGGAAGGAAGCCCATAACATGTTTTCCAGAGTTTTTGACCCACTTTGGCTTAAACAGCCTTTATGAAGCTGTTAGGCAGGATTTGACTACACCTCAAAAGACAGAACTCAGCCTTTTTTTTTTTTTTTTTTTCTGATTCACTCTCTGCTTTCTGTGACCTTTTCAAGTATTTTGTGAGCGCCTACCACGTGCTAGGCGCTGGGTAGACCAGGATCCATGTGGCTCCCTGCCTGCCTGTGAACTATGGTTTTTGTTTGCTGCTTCCACGCAAAGCGTTTATCTTTGGCCTCGTTCCCTCCTCCTGAAGGTCAGCTGGGTGGGAATAGACTGGTTCCACCGTTCTGTGGGCAGAAGTGTTCCTGCAAACGAAAGAACTTGCGTTTTTATTTTTTTATTATTATTATTGTTATCCTGATGTGAACTGAAGATACTGAAGCCACATTCCTCTCTGTTCACCGTTCTTTGCTCAGGACACATCCATGGCCTGAGGACTCCTCTCGGGCTCCGTGTGCCACAGTGGTGGGCACTTGCACGGGCAACCGGAAGTGGGGGGGGGTCTGGTGGCCAGTGGCTCTCCCTGGCTGTCCTTGCCTGACGACTTAGCTTTACAGCATCTAGCCCTGTGGCCGCCATCCTGTGAGCAACTGATGGAGGCTATGCAAAACTCCCCTGAGGTTACGCCCACAGAAAAATGTCCCAGACCACAGTTACAACTCCCATGCCAAGCCCCAGGCAGGTCCCTGGTGCTTCAACTCCCTCCTCTAACTTAACCCTCACGACAACCCTATGAGGTGCCTAGGATCAGCGCTGAGCTGTGGGGAGAAAGTTGAGGTTCACAGGGTGAAGTCACATGTCCAGTTTCATCCAAATCATGACCACGCTGAGACTTGAATCCAGGGGTGCCTTCTCCCCGGTGCCCATGACTGTACCTCTGCCAACGGCAGCAAAATGTGCATGGCATTTCCAGGGAAGCAGGGGACCCTCCCTCATAATTTAGGTTTCTACTCCCTTCACCTCATGATCACCCAGGGCAGTAGGTCACAGACCAAATGCCAGCCCTAAAGGCGGGCATGTAAAAATCATAGCTTATAGTGTGGCTAAATCTTTGGAAAATCTGAGTTTTAGGATCACCACTTGGCAAAAGAGGCCTTCGCAAAATGTTTCACTCAAAATCTCTGCCATTTGGTGGGTTTATGTCATTGTCCCAGGCTGAGGCGGGGGAGCTGGGCTCCAACCTAAACCACTTTTAATGCCCTACCTCACTGAGGAATTGCTAGAGCCCTTAGCGAGTTTCCAGTAGTCACTAAGCCTCCACCACAAGGCCTCCCCACGTCACCAATTTCTTCGGCAAAGTTCTTGGCCTTAAAACATTTCTGAGTCCACTGGGGATCTCGTTACCAGGTGGAGTGTAGGAAAACAACCTTACCACAGGAAAGGACAGGTGCCGAATCTCCCCACGTTTTGGAAGGTCCTGAGGCTGAGGCATGGACAGTCTAGTATTGATACAGCCTGCATCAAGTACAAAGCACTGAGTGGGATAAAAAAGAAGTTGCTCCTGTCCTCCGATAGCTGGTAACTCGACGTCACCAAGAACAGGAACATTTGTGGCTTGGCTGCCATCCTTTCATTGTGCCCAAGTCTCTAAGGGTTGGGTCGGGATGCTCCCTGGGAGGTCTCGCCCTTCTCTTTGGGCTGTGGCAGTGGGCACATAACAGCCTGAGCCATGCCTGGCAGTCTTGTCCCTCCGCCTTGGTTGTCCGGGCCCATCAGAGCTTTTGCTGCAAACCAACCATACCATACGATAGACCAAAGAAGACCTAATGTCAAACCTTGTGGCCTAGAGCAGTGGAAAACTGGCTCACATTGAGGCCTGAGGGTGTCGGATGCCCTCCGTCAGCCTGGAGGAATTGCTTCTAACTTGGCTGAGGTTCTGACACTTAGACAGACCACAGCCTGTGACAGTCCCGGAGTTGCAGAGCTAAAACCCAGAGGCTCCTCGGTCTTCACCTGCTCCTGGCACCCCTGCCGGGGACCCTTCCCACAGACTCGAACATCCAGCTCCGTGGGGTAATGTCTGGTTTCTGGTGCTACCCTTGTCATGCGTCAGCATCCCCTTTCCTTCCTGTCTCCATCCTCTACTCCAAAGTAGGCTCTCAGCGCCAGTCAGGACAAGTGACGACAACTTCTGTTGTCCTTGAAGAGGCCACACCCAGTGCCACACCGAGTAGCCTTCACTTTCAGGCCTGCTATAAATGTCCAAAAGGAGGTGCCCCCCCCACCAGGCTTGTTACAGCAATAAGCAGTTCTGACATAGCTAAGGCGTCCGTAGTTTTCCCCTGTGTGTGCCTGTCTATGCCTTTGTGCCCATCTAACCGTTAATAGTACCCCTTTCGCTCGTACAGGGGAGATGATAAACCATGGTCACCTTAGCTGTCCCCACATTTCCCGCTTCCGAGCACCACCAAGTCACTAGGGCCATTTCGTGCATCCCTCCAGGAACAGTGGGGCTCTGCCAGCCCCGCCACCTCATGTCTGCTCATAGAGTGATGCTGGAGATCCCTGAATATCACGACACTCCCCATCCCCTCTTGGCAGACTGAAATTCTGGCGGTGTTTTTTGTTTCCTGTTAACACACAAAAATACATGAGGCTATATAATATGAGGGGGGTGGGGTGGCGAACAATTAGCTCTAGCATGTATAGACTATATACCGTTAGACTTTCTCTTCTTTTTTTTTTTTTTTTAATAAAAATGCTTGACTGGTTTCAAGCTTCATTGTGAAGATGCAGTGTCTGTGGATTTCATTTGGCTAAAGAAGAGGCTCATAGCTTTGTGCCCGGGCATCTTGGACTCGAGTTTGGGGGTCAAAGAACAGAAGCCTGGGTGAGCTGTTTGGACAGTAAGGGTGACTCCTCTGTCTGGGTCCTAGTGCATCTTGATTCTTTGAATGACAGTGTCCAGAAACTAAGGGAAAGCATCCCTGTATTCACTGGGTATTTCCCACATATTCTCAGCTCTGTGCCTAAAGATGGAAAACTTTAAGATATCTTGTACCTCTCACTGGGGTTGCCTGCTGCTGGGCCAAGAGCCTGTGGTGGAAGCCAAGGGGGGCAGCCACGTTTGGGCTGCAGGGACCGCTCGAGCCATCCGCTCCTGGGAGGTAGAGGGCATGTGTTACTACTTTCCCAAGGGCAGAGGCAAGGCCAAACCAACACCCAATGTGGAGCCTCCTTGGCCTCAGGTGAATCATTAAACAAAATGACACCACCGCCCACCTGCCTAGGGAGAGAACAGAACCAGCAGAGCCCCGGACAGAAGAACATCAAAAGGGGAAATTTACATTCAGTATTCATCCTCCCTTTCCTTTCAAAGAATGCAATGACCTTCTGACCAACCTTGCTTAAGAATAATGGTCATTCCTGTATTAATCTCTGTTCCCCTAAGAAGGAAAAATCATATTGTGCTTCAACCATCGCCCCCCCCCCCCCCCCGGGAGCATTTTCTCCCCAAATCTTCCAGACTAACTGTGGTCATTCATAAGAATACAACTGGGAATGGCATGGGATTCCTGGAGCAGGCATGCAGGGGCACCTGACCCTCCCCTCATGGATGGGATGGGATGGGATGGGATGGGGACTGGACCATGGTCAGGAACCAAACCTGACTTACTCTCAGGGGCTGCTTACCCATTGCCTTCAGGTCTCAGTTGGAACTGGCACATTCGCCATTCCCTTTATACTGCTTCAGAAATGCCAGGCCAAATGCAATCCAACTGTCACACACACACACCTTCACACACGTTCCCTCCCACTCTCCTTACCATGACCCTCTAAGGCGACACGGTAAATGTGTGTGTCCGAGACTCAGGTCGTGGGGCCACTCTTCTCCAAACCCAGGGTGTTTAATGTCCATCACTTCTCGGGTGCCTGGGTGACTCAGTTGGTTAAGCGACTGCCTTCGGCTCAGGTCATGATCCTGGGGTCCCAGGATCGAGTCCCGCATCAGGCTCCCTGCTCAGCAGGGAGTCTGCTTCTCCCTCTGACCTTCCTCCTTCTCATGCTCTCTCTCTATCATTCTCTCTCTCTCTCTCTCTCAATAAATAAATTAAAAAAATCTTTAAAAAAAAAAAGATGTTT